AATGTGAGTTTAAGATCTAAGACCTAGTCCAGGGCAGCCCGGGTGGCTCAGCGTTTTAGCACCGTCCTCAGACCAGGGTGTGATCCTGGAGACCCGGGATGGAGTCCCATGTCTGGCTCCCTCCCTGCATGGAGCCTGCGTCTCCCTCTGCCTGTGTCTCTGCCTCCCTTCCTCTCTGTGTCTCTCATGAATAAATAAATAAATAAAATCTTTTAAAAAAAAAAATAAGACCTAGTCCAGTCCTTTTTTGACAAAGAAAAGAGATTACACAGCTCAAGTATTTAAAAGACTCCAGGTCTCCTAACTCTTAGACAACTTTATTGTTTTATCTTTCCTACATAGACTTACAATCCCCCTGGACTTTATCATGTGTGGTGTGAGGTAGGAGTAAAATTTCATGGTATAATTAACATTTTACTACGTTGGATGCAACCAAGTATTACAAGATGCAGAGTACAGCTCCCCATCCTCAAGAATTTCTCCATTGTTTTCCTTTAGAACTTTTAGAGTTTTGTTCTTACTTTTAGGTCCTTGGTCCATTTCGAGTTCATTATTGTAGATAATATGAAGTGAAAGTCAAGTTCATTTTTAGGGGCTTGATTATCCAATAGTCTAGTACCCTTCGTTGAAAATGATGGGGGAACAGAGGAGTAGCTGAGGACAAAGCACATTGACAAATCCTTGAAACAGGGAGAGTGACATTCCTTTACAGACTCAACTGCCTCGATGTTCATACTTTGCTAAGGGCAAAAGGCAATCTTAGCCTGACTCTCAGGAGCCTGTGAGCCTACTTTAACATATAAAAATTCCTTTAGAAAATTTCTTTTATCTCTAGACCCCCAAGATATGTGTTGGCAATCATCCCCCAAGCGCATGGCCCACTGATAGACATCTGAAGGGTTTCATGACTCAGGCTTTATTAGACCGTCATAAGTGACCTTTTCCCAGCAATAGCTAGCCCCCTAAAGGTCCTGGGAACCTTGCTTCCAGAATTCCTTAGAGAGTACGCTATCCCCAAACCCCTTCCGGTTCCCAGGTATAATCAGTGACCCCTCACAGGCCTGGGGCAGCCGCTCTTCCTGCTAATGGAATTATAGGTACAAAACTTCATCAAAAAGACCATACTTTACTCATTGAATTTCTTTTACACCTTTATTGAAAATTGACTATGCATATAAGAGTCTTTCTGGGTTCTATATTCTGTTCCACTAATGTTTATGTCTATCTTCATACCAATGTGATACTATCCAATTACTTAGGTTTATAATTATTGTACAATTGTATAATAATTGTTAAAATAAGGTAATGTAAATTTGTTCCTTTTCCCCAAAATTGTTTTGGCTATTCTAGATCCTTTGCATTTCCATTTAAACTTTAGAACTGCTAGCTAATTCTGGTGTTTGATTGGGATTGCATTGAATCTATCATTTATTTCAGACACTGGGGAGACTATCTCTTAGCCTGATGGTATTAAAAGCTGGAATAGGAGGCTCTCTGGTAGCTCAGTTAGTTGAGAAACCAACTCTTGGTTTCAGCGCAGGTCAGAATCTCAGGGTTGTGGGATCAAGCCCGAAGGCGGGTTCTGTGCTCAGTGTGGAGTCAGTCTGGGATTCTTACTCTCCCTCTGTCCCTTCTCTCTCTCTCTCAAATAAATAAAATCTTCTAAGAAAAATTAAAAAAAAAAAAGCTAGAACCGTATATTGTTTATTAATAACTCTTCTTATTCTGGGCTCATTAAACAACCAGATAGGTAGTTTGTATCCTGGGAGAGAATACAGTGATCATAGGATGTGAATTGTTGGTCCTTTCTGAAGACAATTTTCCCTATTAAATGATATGCCAGCATTGTAGTTGTGGCTTCATTTCTTTGTGAGCTTGATTAATGAGTTTGCCCAGAGCAATAGTGTCACTCACCCATGCTCTGACAAATCAGGTTTTGCATTTGCAAAAATGAAAATGTATCCTGGGTGGTGGTGATTTCTCTAATTTATTGCTGCCTTGGGGCAAGCATGCATGTTCAGGTCCCATCTTCTGCCTTCTGGCTAGCTATCTTTGAAGAATGAAGACTTCTAGCGTTCATTGAGGACATCACATCATAAGCACTATTCATTTGTTACAATGCTGTGACTCCAGAGTCCTTGCTTTAATCACAATGCTACTGTGCCTTTGATAAGCCATTTGGAAGCAAGATTGGCTATTTGCAGACTCTGCCACTTCTAATACAGAATACTTTCAAGGTGCCCCGAGTTCAGTCAGTACATCGACATTTCTATAGGGCTTTGCAGTTTTTATATACGCTTTTATGTATGATTCATTCAATTCTCTTTCATATATGAAATGTGCTCTCATGAATCATTTAATTCTATCTCTTCCTGCTCTGCCCCGTCAAAATTCATTGCTTATAATTTTTCCTGACCTCCTATTGGGCAGGGCTAAGTCAGTTTTGAAAAACAGAGGTAGAAGAGTGAGATGTAATCTCCACTCAATGTAGGCAATTACTTATGTCTATTTTCCTAGAACTAGTTTAGAGAGACAGCCCTGAACTTCTCTAGTTGACATAGTGAAGAGAAAGAATCTAACATTCCTCAAGAACACTATGCATTGCTTCTAAAATTCAGTGTATCCGTAAATGTCTCCTGAATTAAATGGAAGAGAGGAGAAAGAAGACTGTGGTGTTAAGATACATGTATAAGGAATCTTGCTAGCGGCCAGAAAGGGAGAAGAATTAAATTCTCGGTTAAATGTCTGAGGGGAAAACAAAAAACAAAAAACTGTCGAGAATTAGAACAAAGGAAATTAGTGCTTCAGTCCTAGGAGTAGATGAAGATAGTAGCTGGGCTGTTGATAGATTTACCAGTGCTGGACAAAGTATCCATGTGTACTGCTCCTAAGGTGTGTTCACAGGTTTTTTATTCATTCATTCATGTCACATGAGCCTGCTACAATGCTGGTAATTGTGGAGCTATGCAAAGATGAACAGGTAAAAATTTAATATTTATAAACAAAAGCATCGTTCCTGTATATCCGGCACTTACTATAGTTTCTGGTAGGTGTTTGATACATGCCAGAGTATTTGTTAAATCATTTGAGCCATAAAGATGGAACAGATAAAGCTTTAACTTGAAGGCAGAGGTGGAAGGAAGAGTTTCACAGGTGGAGAGAATAGCAAAGGGCAAAAACAGTGGGAAGAAAACAGGCTTTGCATAGACAAAGTAACTTAGTATGTCTGGCTGCATTGTGGAAGGCCACTAGCAGGAGAAACATTTTCAGAAGGTATGCTGGAAATCACTGAGAGACCTATGAACTCAGTTGCTTCGAGAGTGGCGTATATATGTATTTTTTGAAGATTTATTTATTTGAGGGGGCTGGGGAGAGGCAGAGGGAGAGGGAGAGTGAGTCTCAAGCAGACCTCACACTATGTGCAGAGCCAGACATGGGGATCCGTCCCACAGTTCTGGATCCCAAAACCAAGAGTCTGAGGCTCAACCAACTGTGCCACCCAGGAGTCCCAAGAGTGTGTATACATATATATTTTTAAAGATTTATTTATTTGAGAGAAAGGGAGAGAGAGCACACTTGTGCACATGGGGGGGAGGGGCAGAGGGAAAGAGAAAAATCAAAGCTGACTCCCTATCCACCCCCCCCCCAACACACACACAGTGGCAGCCCCACATGGGGGTAGGTCTCAGGGCTCAGAGAACTTAGGCAAAATGGAGAGTTGGATGCTCAACTGACTGAGCCACTCAGGCACCGCGAGAGTGTGTGTGTGTGTGTATAAATATATAATTTACTTATTTATTTATTTCTTTTGATGAAGAGAAAGAGTAGGGAGAGGGGCAGGGGGAGAGAATGCCAGAAGACTTCATACTGAGCAGGGGAGCCCAAGGCAGAGCTGGATTTTAGGACCCTGAGCTGAAGACCTGAGCTGAAATCAAGAGTAGGATACTTAACAACTCAACCACCCAGGCGCCCCCAAGAGTGCATATATATTTTTAACTTACGTCCAAATCATTCTGCTAGAGATGTTAATATTTCCCTTATATAGTGTAGGCCTAGTTACTGTGGAACAAGATGGGAGATGGGATGGTTACGCCCGGTGGCGGTGGTGAGGGGGGAGGCAGTGAAAATGCTATGGCAGCAAAAATCAAAGACATGGAAGATGAAGGGAATTGATCAGAACTGTATTTATTCTTCAAAAGCAAGAATATACTCTGGCAGGAAATTTAGAAGGAAGTATCATCATTTAACATTTTTCATTAATGAGAAAACTCAAGATTGTAATTTTTTAAAAGGATTTTATTTATTTATTCATGAGAGACACACACACAGAGAGAGAGAGAGAGAGAGAGAGAGAGAGAGAGGCAGAGACACAGGCAGAGGGAGAAGCAGGCGCCCTGCAAGGAACCTGATGTGGGGCTGGATCCCGGGGATCGCCCGGGCCAAAGGCCGCCGCTCACCCGCTGAGCCACCCAGGCACCTCCTGGAAGTCGTAACTTGACAAAGCGCTGAAAACAACCCTATCCCCCCCTCCACCAGGAAGCGGCCTTTGGCTACTCCTTGTTAAAGAGCCGCGTCATCATCACTTGGGAGCTGGTTGGAAAGGGCCATTCTCAGACCCCAGGCCGGAGCCACCGAATCAGAACGTGTGTCTAACGCGATGGAGTGATGGAAAAGTGATTACTTGCACGAGGCAGCCCCGGAGCCCTGCTCTAAGCCTGGGTACTTTAGAGCCGATATCAGGCTGCAAAGAGCTTCCAGCTGGAGCCGCGGCTCGCGCGGTCGGTCCCTCAGCAGACGGCAGCGCCCCTCCCCTTGCTCCCAGCCGCACCCGCCCTGCTCCCGGCGAGGGCGAGCTCGGCGCGCCCCCGGAAGACCCGGGCCGGGGCGGGCCGAACGGGGGAGTCCCGGGGGGGGGGGGGGGGCGTGCTCGGGGGGCGGGGCCCGGCCTGCCCAATGGGCCCTCCCGGAAGGGGGGCGGGGCGCTATTTCTGCAGCTCCCGGGGCGCGGGCGCGGCGCGCGTGCCCGGGGCCCAGCATGTGGCGCGTTCCCCGCCAGCTGTGTGTGCGCGTTGCGAGGGGAGGCAAGCTCTCGGGCCCTCGCCACAGACCCGCTGCCTTCATGTCCACTCTGCTCATCAATCAGGCCCAGTATGCCTGGCTGAAGGAGCTGGGGCTCCGCGAGGAAAACGAGGGCGTGTATAACGGCAGCTGGGGAGGCCGCGGAGAGGTATGCGGGCGCCCTGGAGATCCGCGCGGGCCCCGTGCGCTCCCGGAGGCCGCGCGGGCACTGCCCGGCCGCCTCCCGCTGCTGGGACCGCGGTACCGGGTGGGCAGGTCTGAAGCCCCGGAGTAAACATGCGCATGTGAAGGGGAACTTGCCGAATACGCCCGGAGCGTTAGGTCTTTGTGTGTTCTGGACCATCCGTGCCATTCCGGAGCTGGTGGGGCTCGAGCTTCCCGCACGCGCTGACAGCCTTCTGGCGGCGTCGTGCGGTGGGTGGGGAGGCGGGCTCCGGGCTTAGCCTTGGCAGATTACCTCGACTTTGTGCTTGACTCTTCTGGCTCTTCTGATGCCACGTGCGCCACGTGCGCCACGGGTAGTGTCCTTGGTTTTGCACCGTCTTTGCTGTTGTTGGAGTTCGCAAGCCGGGACTCGCTGACATCCAGTCAAATCTGTGGGGCTCTGAGCTTCCTTGAGGACGGGATTTTCAGCGTTTATCTCCAGAGCCAGACAGCACGACTGGCACGCAGAGAAAGCTCAGTGCAGTGTTTGATTAGGGAATAGGATGGAAAGGTAAGGTTTTGGGGGGAGCTGCATGAATAAGAAAGCTTTTATAAGAAGATGATACATAACATGCCACAAAGTTTGTTGCGTACACCGAACTTGCTTTGTTAGAAGAAACACTTGTTCCTCCAGGTTATTGCTGACCGTAGGAGATGTAGGTGTTTGCAGTTATTCCCCAAATTACCCTCCCCTTCTGTTGGCAGTTTGATCCTGTTTTTCCTGTGGCGTTTTATCATTAGGGTCCTGGATAAGATACTTCCTCCTGAAAATTTTTTAGCGACGCCTTGATTTTTTTTTTCCTTTCTAATCTCTGCAGCTTGTGTCGAGATAACAGAGTTGTCCACTCTTCTTCACCTTCTGACTAGGACAGAGTAAGAGAAGATTAAGTGAAACTCTTCAGTTTAGTCTCTTATGAATGGAGAAAGAGGCGACGTGATGGGTTATATTAGACTTTGGCTCCCACACCCCATATTTAGATGGCAAGACTGGGTTTTGCAAAAAGTGGTTCTGCATGTTTAGGTCAGAAATGAAAGACCGCTCTCTAAGTGACCTATTTGTCATAGAAGCTAATGTAAAAATTCCAAGTTTGGATATGGTGTCTTAAGTTTTTTTTTTTTTTTCTTCCTCCTTTACCGTCCCCTGTTTTTTGGTCTGTTCCCCCTATTTGGAAGGGATTACATTTCCCATAGACTGGCATTTTCTTTTTGTTTGAAGGTTATCACGACCTATTGTCCGGCTAACAATGAACCGATAGCAAGAGTCCGACAGGTAAGTTTTTTTTTTTGTTTTTGTTAATTCAAATTGCCCACTTGTGCCAGTGATGAAAAGCAGTATGGAGTCTCACAGTCCAAGAATAAAGTGTTTCGTTTTCATGTGACATTTAAGAATGTCTCGGAGACTGCCCAGTCTTTGGGTTTGGGTGCTCTAAAAAAGGTGACAGAAAAGTCATTGGGAGGGGGACTCCATTTAAGGCCATATCTGAATCACCTGATTTTGAATGAAGATTCCATTCTAACCTCTGAAGTCCGGGTTGGAGCCCAGGGTTCTGATTTTTCTAACATCTCAGGTATTGTCCCCAGATGAGGCTGATGGAGCTTGCTTCTAGAAGCAACGTTTAAGAAGCACAGCTGGATTCTAAGCTGTCTTACCGAGTTCACAGTCTATGAAGGCATAGGCTGTGAAAATCATTCTAGAAACTACGAATCCGACGGTCACCTGGAGATACTCCCATTCTTTTCCACAAATCTCGTTTGTTCTCAGAGGGGATCATCCCTTCCCATTATTTTTCTTTGTCTCCTGTCTAATTCCTACTTTAGGCCAGTGTGGCTGACTATGAAGAAACAGTGAAGAAAGCCAGGGAAGCCTGGAAAGTCTGGGCAGAGGTGAGTGCGAAGGTCACGGCATGATGACCTATGGTAATTGCAAGGGAGATAAAGAAAAATTTTACAAGAGCAGTCAGTGCTCCCCTGCAAGGGGAGTTGCTTGGGAGCTATGAAAATCTCTGAGCCATAGCCCTAGGATAGTGCCTTTTCCATATTTGGCTTTCAATTAATGGGTGATTTTAAGTGAATTAAAAGTCTTTACTGAAGAAGCATAAACCTCAGCTCTGAACACTATTTTCTAGTTGAAGTAAGTTTCTAATTGGACTAAAAGAAAGGACTGTGTATGCTAGAAACCCCATTTTGCTGCTTCTCCCGTCTCCTTCCAACCAACTGTATGCAGGGGTGAGGGGTGGGAGCATCTCAGCAGTAAGTGGATAGCCCTAGCTCAAAGGGCAGGGGCTTGAGTTCCTGCAGTCTGATCTGGCGTTAGAGAGGGTGGTGCCTCCTTCTTCTGTCTCCACCTGGGGTAATGTGATCCTCTGTAGGAGCTGTGACTGGAGCTGAGCTGGGCCACAGGGAGCTGTCACTAGGTGAGGGCCAGACTCTGGAAGAGAAGAGAGGGAAGAAATGGGGTAGCCCGCATTTCCCTCCTTCCCTCCCCCACTCTGAATATTCCATTCTGTCTATCACTGAAGATTATAGGCCTGAGGCTCGAGGAACATCCTGGACTATTTAACCCAGCTCTACCCTTGGGTAAATTACTTCCCTTCTGTGTGCTCTGTCTTGTAAATAGAGGAGATGGCCTGCCTGCCGCATGGGGTTATGGTGAGCATTAAATGAATTAATCCTTGGAATTGCCAGCTGCAGAACCTGGCCTTTGCAGACATCTTACCAGGGCTATACAGAACCACATGTTACTGGTTTCCAGACTGCTGAGTCAGTGTTTTTTTCTGAATCAAAGAATGCTAGGGTGACTTGGACAGGGGCAGGCTCTCCCAGAGAGCCCTGAGTTGAATGTACCTTAGTTGTCAGCTGAGGGACCGCCTCTGTGCAAAGCAGGAGGAACATCTTTCCTGTACTTTAAGCCTGATTGTTGGTGTAGGGTTCCATTATGCACAATGAAAAATATCCTTGAGTGTTAAAGCACCACTTCCAAAAGTATATGGTATAATAAGTAAAGTTCACTCCACGTAGAGAAAAGTGTCCAAAGCAGTGTCATTTATTGTTTGCAAAATAATTTTTGTTTTCTTTTTGATCCTAAAAGTAATACATATTTGGGGTACCTGGGTGGCTCCGTCAGTTAAGTGGCTACCTTCTGCTCGGATTGTGATCTCAGGTCATGATCTCGGGGTTGGCTCCCTGCTTAGCAGGGATCTGCTGCTTCCTCTCTTTCTCCCACCGTCCCATCATGCACTCTCTCAAATAAATATATAAAACCTTTAAAAAAATTAACACAGGGTGCCTGGGTAGCTCAGTTGGTTAAGTGTCTGCCTTTGGCTCATGTCATGATCTCAGGGTCCTAGGCACTGGGAATCCCTCCTCGGCGGTGAATCTGCTTCTCCCTCCGCCCCTCCCGCCTGCTCATGCACTCTCTCTCTCTCTCACTCTCTCTCAAATAAAATCTTTTAAGAAAGATTAACATATATTCTTTTTTTAAAAAATATTTTATTTATTTATTCATGAGAGACACAGAGAGAGAGAGAGAGAGAGAGAGACAGAGACAGAAAGAGAGACACACAGGCAGAGGGAGAAGCAGGCTCCATGCAGGGAGTCTGATGTGGGACTCGATCCCAGGACTCCACGATCATGCCCTGGGCCGAAGGCAGGCACTAAAACGCTGAGCCACCCAAGAGTAATGTATATTCTTTAATAAGAATTGGATGAGACACTAATATAATCACATTGGATCCCTTACCTCATCTTCTTTTATAGAGAATGGTTATTAGAGTTGGAGTTTGTGCATTTCCTTCCAGTCTTTTGTGTTTTATAGTTGTGGTTATTATACGTGGCATGTGTAAAATTTTGACACTCATGGTGGCATTGCCTGCCAGCCTAAAGTTGCGTTATTTTATTTTATTAATTTTTTAAATTTTTATTTATTTATGATAGTCACAGAGAGAGAGAGAGAGGCAGAGACATAGGCAGAGGGAGAAGCAGGCTCCATGCACCGGGAGCCCGACGTGGGATTCGATCCCGGGTCTCCAGGATCGCGTCCTGGGCCAAAGGCAGGCGCCAAACTGCTGCGCCACCCAGGGATCCCAAGTTGCATAATTTTAAAATTGTTCTCCTATATATAAGCTATTCACAAAAAAATTAGACTTAATTTTTTAGAGTAGTTTCAGGTTTATAGGAGAGGAAAAAATTTTTGCTTTTCACTTCCGAGTTCTGTGGCTGGTTTAGTAATTGATATAAAACAGATGAACAGGAGAAAAACATTTGAATTTCTCATGTGGGGCATGGAAGAGTGGCAGTGAGGAAAGATCCAAGACCAAGATCCAAGAGGAAAGATGTCTGGGCAGCCAGACATCTAAGCTTGTATGCATACAGAGTTCTGGGGCTTGAACTGAGAGGAGCAAATGTTTGGTACACAAATGTGTTCCCTGCCATGCCAGTAGGTCATCCTTATAAAAGCGATCTCTGGTAAGAACTCATTTCTTGGCACAGATCCCCTTCTTTCAGGCAGTAAGGGAGAGGTAAAAAGCTTTTCCTGAGTCTGTTGGGCCTCGGTTGCCTTCAGCTCAGAATGATCCTTATGCCCAAGTGGCACGTTCTGGCTTAGTCTGAGTCCTTTCAGCAGAGAGATGAGTGGAAAACAGGGAATTCTGTCCTTCTTATCACACTTTGCACGTTTCCTTAACCACCATCTTACATTGGTTACAATTGGAGAGCCAATGCTGATCAACTATTATTAACTAAAGCCCATAATTTGCATTAGGATTCACTGTTTGCATATAGGGTTTTGAATGCCAGTGAAACGTGATTAGAAACATGTATGTGTGTGCATTTACCACGGTGTGTGTGATTCGGGGTCTTTCCTAAACTCCTAAACTGGCTTTTTTTTTTTTTTTTTTAAGATTTTATTTATTTATTCATTAGAGACACACACAGAGAGAGAGGCAGAGACACAGAGGACGAAGCAGGCTTCATGCAGGGAGCCTGATGTGGGACTGGATCTCAGGGCTCCAGGATCAGTGCCCTGGGCTGAAGGCAGATGCTAAACCACTGAGCCACCCAAGGATCCTAAACTGGCTTTTTTTTTTTTTTAACTGGCTTTTAAATCAGTCTTGTCTGACGCCCTGCTGGGAGCCTGCTGCTCCCTCTGTCTGTGTCTCTGCCTCCCTGTGTCTCTCATGAATAAATAAATAAGATAATCAGTCTTGGCTGTGCCCTAGGGGCTGGCAGCTGACACTGATACCTTTCCTTAATAGTGTGCAGTACTCTTCTTGTTACTGCTATTTTCATGTTTAGGATTTCACATGGCCATCCTCTCTCAGTGAACATTGCCCGCCCCTGCACCTAACATGCTTGCTTCTACTTCCCAGACTGCTCAGATCTCCCAGTAGAGTGACATTGCTAAGTGGGAGCAGGTTGTTGTCCTGGGTGATGGTTGGGGATCCCACTTGTTAGAATTTGAGTTAAGCAATTGAGTTCAAAGTTGAGGGTAGGGGCAGAGCCTTTCCTAACTGCATCTGGGGCTCCTGCCAACGGGGCAGTCACTTAGAGGCTGCTGGTGCCTCACACAAGGAGAGAGCAAAGCTCATCCCCTCCTGGTCTACACACTTAACCCTCCTGGGTCCTTAACTCAAGTGGGGCTGCTTCTGCTTCCCCCTGATAGTTTTGGCTGGCCTCGCCTGTGTTAGGACAAACCACTGTTTCATTGACTTCTTTTGCGTGAGGCCTGAAATTTTTCAAAGGGAACATTTTTTGGGGGGGAGGGGGGACATTTTTCTTTAAGGAAAAAGTATAAAAATATAGGAAGCTTCCTATGTGAAAAATATATAGCTGATTTCTTTCTCCTAACTAAACCTGAGCACAGAGAACCTGGTCGGGATTACTGGCTCTGCTGCTCTCTCTCAGGAACTGGTTTCAGCCCAGAATGCCACCTGTTTATGCTCCTCTGCATCCGCTGTGTGTCATTTTCCCCCTGTCCATCCCTGGGGAGGAAGAGCTAGAGTGATGACAGGCACCATCTCTAACCGAATAAAGAAATAACATTTACATGGAAGCTCTATAATATATGGTAGCTCTTTGGTGATCAGGGAAGGAATCTCTGAGGAGGTAGCACATGAACCCAGAATAAATAAGAGCCATCCATCTAATGGCACCTGGGTGGCTCAGTGGTTGAGCGTCTGCCTTTGGCTCAGGTCATGATCCCGGGGTCCTGGGATCAAGTCCTGCATTGGGCTTCCGTCAGGGAGCCTGCTTTTCCCTCTGCCTAGGTCTCTGCCTTTGTCTTTCATGAATAAATTTTTAAAAATATTTAACATGGTAGCACTTTAACACAGGTTTCCTTGTATTATTACCCCAAAAGCTCAGCTAATAATTCCCTCAGTGCTGATAATTCCTTCTTGTGGCTGTTGGGGATGCTTGTTCTAAGTATGACTTCACAGATACAGTGTGCAGGGATGAGATCTCCTGTTGTCCACCTCAGGAGGACATGAGGTTACAAATGGCCTGTCATGCTGAGATCAGTAAAGCTCACCTGGGAGATGGGTTATCATGTTGCCTACTCTGCCCCCATTTCCCTCTCCCCAGATCCAATCCTGCTTTCTCAATTCTTGCTACTCTATCCCATCATTGGGAGGCTAGAACAAAAATGAAGAAGCCACATTTGAATGGTCTTGGATAGAATCCAGCTCAAAGGTTTCATGGGTGTTGATTTTGCTATATACCCAGGGTTGAGGATCTGTCAATTACCAATTGTCAGTTACCAAGTCTTGAATATTTTAAATTGCAGTTATCTCTGTTGCTATTTCTGTAATTGAGACAAGTCACCATCTTTTTCTTGCCTAATGGTCTTCCTATGTGAATCTTGTCTCACTCTGTTCTATTTCCTAGACCACATCTGGAGGGTTTTTTTTTTTTTTTAATACAATTGTTTTAAGTGAGCTCTAACCCCAAGATCAAGAGTTGCATGCTGTGTAGACTGAGCCAGCCAGGTGGCCCTGGAGTGGTATTTTACAATGCACTGTGATTTTCCCCCTACCATTTAATACCCTCTAGTGATTTCCCCACTATTTTTTTTAAAGATATTTATTTATTTATTTATTTACTTACTTACTTACTTACTTACTTGACAGAGAGAGCACAAGCAGGGGGAGCAGTAGGGAGAGAGGGAGAAGCAGGTTCTGCCTGGAGCAGGGAGCCCGATGCGGGACTTGATCCCAGGACACCTGAGCCACTCAGGCGCCCTCCACACTATTTTTTGGAGGATTCTTTATAAGGTCCTTTGCACTGTGACCCCAAATTTTCTCTCCTGCCTCTTTTAACCCCTTTAAAATTTTCAAAGTCCCCATATTCTCTTTTGTTTTTTGGCCTTTGCACATGCTCTGTCCCGTTGCCCATAATTTCTGTCTACCTTCTCTACCTCTACCTGGCAAACACCAATCATACTTGAGGTCTTCAGTCTCAATTTTAAACTTCTTCAGAAAGCCTCCTTCCTCCCTACTTGCTTAACCCCAAGTAACACTAAATTAACACGGCTAGCTGCTACCCTTATACAGTCTGGCTTCTCCAGCCTGGCACTTAGTACATGAGACTGAAATCACCTATTTCTTGTCTTCACCACTCCTGGAGTGTTGGTTCTGGTGGGCTTGAATTGTAGCTGTCTTCTCTAGTATCCCTGGGGAAGAACAGAATATCTGGCACTATAGGAAGTGTGCAATAATTACTGGTTAGAGACTGAATAATGTATACAAGAATATGATGTAAAGGACTATGTGTATTGGACATTCTGAGTTGAAATTAACCAGTTTGCTAAACTTACAAACCTGTGGGCTAAATTCATTTGGAACAGTAGTAAACTCATTCCATGCTTAGGAAATTTATAGGATCTGTGCTGATTCATGTAACAATCAGTTTTTGATATTTTCAAAGGAGTGCATGTATTGTAAAAATGGCAAATATTATAGACTTATTAAATGTGAGGAATGAAAGTCTTATAATTCCATCCCACCACCTAAAAAAATCCCATTCCCCAGAAATGACCATTCTTAACATCTTGTGTATTTCTTCAAACATAAGCAAAAATTTAGTTATTGTATGCATATTTTGCTATTTTCTGTTACAACTCTGGAAAGTTTTTGCTTGTAAGTCTACCTTGTAGAGTGTAAATAATCCCGTGTTATAGCTTTTGTGTAATTAACCGGTCCTGTGTTGATAGACATAAAGATGGTTTGTTTTTCTCCACCAGAAACAGCACTGCAGTAAGTGTTGTACCTGTATGTCTGTAATGTATGTATTTGCTTGATATCCAGAAATGGAATTACCTAGTCAAAGAGAAGGAATGGGTTAAATGTTACAGTATGCCGGGTTACTTTCCAGAAAAGCTCTATCACAACACCATCTATTTGGAAAGAAGAGAGTGAGGATGAGCCCTGAGTTCTGGGTCAGGCTCTGGGAAGCCACCCTGGAGCAGAGCTTTGATAGCACTCTCTGAGGAGCCAGTGGAGTACTGGGGCCAGCCTGGGGGAAATGGTCCTTTTAGTTGCCTTTGAAGGAGAGCCAGAGTTAATTGGGAAGAGCTGGGGGAAGAGAAAGAGTGATGGTCACATTGAGGAAGTCATGTCTCCATATGTGAATCATGTCTCAAACTTCACGTGGCCCAACCTGTACTGTTTACCTTCACAAACCTGACACTTATTTTTTTTTTTTAGAGATTTATTTATTTATTTGAGAGTGAACCAACACGAGCTGGGGGGAAGGGGCAAAGGGAGAGGGAGAAGCCGAATCCTCTCTCAGCAGGGAGCCCAATATGGGGCTTGATCCCAGGATTCTGGAACCATGACCTGAGTCGGAGGCACTCAACTGACTGAGCCCCCCAAGTGTCCCAACCTTTGATACTTCTGAGTCTTCTTCATCTGGGGAATTGTACTTCCATCTACCTAGCTGTTCAAGCCAGAGATCTGGGCATCATCCATGGTTCTATGTCCCTCATTTCCCACACCTATTCCATTAGTGTGTCCTGTCCGTTCTATTTCCTAAATAATCCTGGATCTACTTTATGTCTCCCTTGCTTCAGTTTTATGTGTTTTTTTTTTAAGATTTTATTTATTTATTAGAGATACAGAGAGAGAGAGAGAGGGAGGGAGGGGGGAGAGAGAGGCAGAGAGAGAAGCAGGCTCCATGCAGGGAGCCTGACCTGGGACTCGATCCCAGGTCTCCAGGATCAGGCCCTGGGCTGAAGGCGGCGCTAAACTGCTGAGCCACCCAGGCTGCCCCCGGTTTTACTATCAAGTTAGTATAATCTTTGGCCTAGGCTACTAGAGTGTGTTCTTAATTGATCTTCTACTTTTCCCCTCCTGTATCTGTTCCATCTATCCCACATTGATTTTTCTTTTTAAAATTTTTATTTAGGGATCCCTGGGTGGCGCAGCGGTTTGGCGCCTGCTTTTGGCCCAGGGCGCGATCCTGGAGACCCGGGATCGAGTCCCACGTCGGGCTCCCGGCATGGAGCCTGCTTCTCCTCTGCCTGTGCCTCGCCTCTCTCTCTCTCTGTGACTATCATAAATAAAAATGAAAAAAATAAATAAAAAAAATAAATAAATAAAAAAATAAAATTTTTATTTAAAGAGAGAAAGAGAGGGGCTGGGGAGCAGAGGGAGAGGGACAAGCGAATTCTGTGCTGAGTGTGGAGCCTGACTTAGGGCTCAATCCCACAACGCTGAGATCATGACCTGAGTGGGAATTGAGAGTCAGACTCAGGGGCACCTGGGTGGCTCAATGGTTGAGCATCTTCCTCTGGCTCAGGTTGTGATCCCAGGGTCCTGGGATCAAGTCCTGCATCAGGCTTTCCGGGGGGAGCCTGCTTCTCCCTCTGCCTATGTCTCTGCCTCTCTCTGTGTGTCTCTAACGAATGAATAAATAAAATCTTAAAAAAAAAAAAAAAGGAGTCAGACTCAGATAATCAACCCACTGAGCCACCCAGGTACCCCCTAACAGCGATCTTAAAAAGGCAAAGTGGGGCACCTGCATGGCTCGCTCAGTAGAGTATGTGACTCTTGATCTTGGGGTCTTGAGTTCAAGCCCCACTTTGTTGGCATAAAACTTAATTAAAAAAGTTTTTTTTTGGGGGGAGGTAAAGCAAATAATTTTCCGCTTAAAAACCATTAAAGACTTCCCATTGCACTTAGAATAAGATTCAGTAAGATTATTAGCTCCATGAATGCTTCCCTTATTTTAGCCCAGGTGCCTGGCATTATTCCTGTTACATACTAGGTGCTCAGAAAATAGTGAGTAAATCATAATTTGAAAAAATCATAATTTGAATGGCTTATGGAATGCCATTTCATCAGCTGACTAGTATTTGGGCATCCAGTCATTTTGACACATAAGAAAACATCACTGGAAATCTTAAAGGTTTACAGATATTTAAGGTATCTTAAGCTTTTTCTAGAGTCCTTGCAAAGATTGTGTTCATTCTCTGAATTTCTCTCTGTCCTTGGCACAGACCCTTGCTTTCCAAGAACCTGTCATCTGGATGATGTTTCCTGGGTCTCTGGTATTGGTTTTAGGGACGTGCTATAATCACAGTCTTGATGTGATCAAAAATCATCTGATGGGCTGGGACTTAATTCTCTTAGAGCACGATTGTCTACTGTTGTGTTACAGACATGTTTACGCTTTGAATTAGACACTGAGATTCCATTTTCTTCTTAGGTTCCTGCTCCGAAGCGAGGAGAAGTAGTGAGGCAGATTGGGGATGCTTTGCGGGAGAAGATCCAAATACTAGGAAATTTGGTAACGTATTTCGATAGTAAATACACGTTCCTTTGAGTGGGGAATAAGGCTTGTTGTGCATTTGTGTTTAAGATTGTAAGATTGTGATGCTTAAGGAGAACAGTCATAATATTTATAAAAAACATCTCTTTAGAGGAAAGATGAACAGGGAAAAGTAAAGACAAATCTTGGGTTTTTATTTTTTTATTTATTTTTATTTTTTATTTTTTTAAATCTTGGGTTTTTAAATTAATATAACAGACTCTCTGAAATTTACCCCTTCACAAAATTAACATGAAATACTGTTTGGTCCCCACCCTGCCCCATAAACTTAGTATTTAAAATATGAATTGTGTTGCAAAAATGCTTCTTGTTTTTTTGTGCTTTTTTAGGTGTCTTTGGAGATGGGGAAAATCTTAGTGGAAGGTGTGGGAGAAGTTCAAGAGTACGTGGATGTTTGTGATTATGCTGTTGGCTTATCGCGGATGATTGGGGGACCCATCTTGCCTTCTGAAAGTAAGCAATGAAGTCAGTTAAGCTAAGAATTTTGTGCTCTTAGGCAGAGCTCAAAAAATGCTATAGCTGTGAATTAGTTGGCAGAAGAGCAACTGCATGTAGCATGTAAATATACAAAAATGTCTTTCATGTCTGTACCAACGAATATAAATTCAAATAGGTAAAAACGTCAGATCAAAGTACTTTTTTTTTTTAGATCAAAGTACTTCTTAAATTTTTCTATTTTTATTTAATTTTTAATTTTTAATTTTTATTTATTTATTTTAAAAGATTTTATTTTTATATTCATTAGAGAGAGAAGAGGCAGACATAGAGGGAAAAGCAGGCTCCATGCACGGAGGCCGATGTGGGATTCGATCCTGGGACTCCGGGATCACGCCCTGAGCCGAAGGCAGACACTCAACCACTGAGCCACCCAGGCGTCCCAAATTTTTCTATTTTTAAAGATAATACTCCAGGGGATGCCTGGGTGGCTGTGTCGGTTAAGTGTCTGCCTTTGACTCAGGTCATGATCTCCAGGGTCCTGGGATTGAGTCCTACATCAGGTTCTGCTCAGTGGGGAGTCTGCTTCTCACCCTGCTCGTGCTCTCTCTCTCTGATTCTCTCAAATAAATAAAACCTTTTAAAAAATAAATAATTTATTTAAGAAATAACAATAAAACTGTTTTGGCAAGTCCATTGGTGAGATAGCCACTCTTTTATGTGAACTTTTTTGGTAATGTGTATCACCAATCCATCAGGATAACAATCAGAAAATAAATCCAAAGGGCCAGAAATGTTTAATACCAATTTCAAGAATCTAATTCAAGTAAATACTCTTGAACTGTGAAAAAGGTTTATATGTAAAGCTGTTCCTTGGCACCCCTGGGTGGCTCAGCAGATGAGTGTGTCTGCATTCCGCTCAGGGCGTGGTCCTGGAGTCCCGGGATCGAATCCCACATCAGGCTTCCCTTGAGGAGCCTGCTTCTCCCTCTGCCTATGTCTGTGCCCCTCTCTCTCTGTCTCTGATGAATGGATGGATGGAATCTTTAAAAAAATAATAATTTAACCAAAAGGGGGGAAAAAAGCTATTCCTTGTAGTATCAATAGGACACATTTGAAATGACCTAAATGCTTTATATGACAAATGTTAAGCTCTTTTGGTAGTCTATTAGCATATATTAAAACTCATACTTAGGAAAATTGTTTTCTCCTAACCCCACACTTACAGAAAAGTTGTATTTACTTTTAAATTATTTTAATGTTTTTGTTTTTAAGAGGTGATAAATTTGTATCACGAAATTGAAAATGAATGAAAGGGTAAAGGATAAAAAAAGTTTCCTTCCTACCTCCCTGGATACTCCCTAAGTATTCCCATAGAAGTAGTGAATGTTTCTTGGTTTCTTCTTTATTTTTTAGAACTTTTGTCTCGTGCAGGCAAATATGTCTTTTAGGAACACAAACATTAGCAAGCTAAATGTTCTGTTCTTTTTACTTAATGTGTAAAAAGAAACTGTCACTTATTTCAGCAAGGGGCTTCCTTCATCTTTTTTTTATAGCTGCCTTTGGGTGTCAGGACACTAATTTTTTTTTTTTAAAGATTTTATTTATTCATGAGAGACTCAGAGAGGCAGAGACCTAAGCAGAGGGAGAAGCGGGCTGGGCTCCCTGCAGGGAGCCTGATGCAGAACTCCATCCCAGGACTCTGGGATCATGACCTGAGTCAAAAGCAGACAAACACTCAACCACTGAGCCACCCAAGTGCCCCAGGACACTAATTTTTTTAGCCAGTTCCCAAGTGATAAATATGTAGGGTATTTCCAATTTTTTTTTGCTGTTACTTAATGTTGCAAGGGCTGACTTTGTACTTGGCAGAGATTTCAAAAGTGAGGATATGGGTTTATATGATTTGTAATGTTTGCAGTGTTAATGGAGCAAAATAGGTGACTGAATGCCTGCATAGAAAGTACCAAGTAGGGCAGCCCCGTTGGCACAGCGGTTTGCGCCGCCTGCAGCCTGGGGTATGATCCTGGAGACCTGGGATCGAGTCCCACATCGGGCTCCCTGCATGGAGCCTGCTTCTCCCTCTGTCTGTGTCTCTGCCTCTCTCTCTCTGTGTCTATGAATAAATAAATAAAATCTAAAAAAAAAAAAAAAAAAAAAGTACCAAGTAGTGGAAGTCAGCCAAAGCAGTAATAGTGGTTGTCTGTATGTGGCAGAATTATTGATGGTTATTAATCTATTTTTCTCTATTTTCTAAAATTTCCATGATTGGGATTCTGTTACATTTATAACCAGGAAAAGGAATAATTTTTTTTTTAAAGATCACATTTTTTCCTTTTTTTTTTTTTAACAATTTATATTTATTTATTCATGAGAGACAGAGAGAGAGAGAGAGAGAGAGAGAGGCAGAGACAGGGGGAGAAACGGGCTCCATGCAGGGAGCCTGATGCGAGACTCAATCCCGGATCCCAGGATCATGCCTTGGGCCAAAGGCAGACGCTCAGTCGCTGAGCCACCCAGGCGTTCTGTGTTTTTCGTTTTTGTTTTTGTTTTTGGGATTTTTTTTTGGAGGGGGGGGCATATTTGGCGCATTTACTTTAGGAAAGAATTGGGATTTTTTGTTTTTTAAACTATAGTTAATGTCCTTAATTAGGTATGTAATAGTGATTCCTATTATTCAAGATGATTTTTATGTTACTGATCATTTTCAATAGGCTTTTCTAGTTAAAAAAGTAAATTGCCAGTTTGGCGAAGTGTACATGTGCAAACACGGAACTTCTTTGATTACACCTATTGTGATGTCTGCCTCACCAATTAAAATCTGTCTCAGTTGCTTGCATATTCTTTAGAAGAGTAGGTTATTCGTTTACGCAGAGCCTTTGTGGATAACTTTGATTTCATTAATATAATAAATGCTTACTGTGTACCAGATGCCAGGAGAACTAGTAGGTGGTACTTGATCAGTAAGGAATTATCCCCATCCTGAAAGAATTAATTAATTGATAGATTGATTCATTCATTCATTGAGAGAGCACAAGCATGCATACGAGTGGGGTGGGGAGATGGGAGAGGGAGATAATTTTTTTTTTTTAAGATTTTATTTATTTATTCATGAGAGGCACAGAGAAAGGCAGAGACATAGGCAGAGGGAGAAGCAGGTTCCTTGCAGAGAGCCCAATGTGGGACTCGATCCCAGGATGCCGGGATCACGACCTGAGCCAGAGGTAGATGCTCAACCACTGAGTCATCCAGGTGGCTGTCCTGAAGGAATTTATAAGCTTAAAGATTCATTATGTTTTAGAGTGGGAGGGAAGTGAGAGACATGTAATAGGACAATAGTAACAGTATGGTAAGTACTTGGGGCACAGGGCAGGGTGGTGACCCTGAGCCAGCCTTGTGAGGCAGTCAGGAGACACCCCTAGGAGACAGTAATCCAAGGTCAGGCCTTAAGGAAGGAGAGGGTGAGGTGCTTGGTCACCCAGAAGAAGCTTGTGTGATTTAAGGTGGGAAAACACCGCTTATTTAGGCAACTGCCTTGCTTTAGCATAGCTTGAGGGCGGAGGGGAGACACAAGGTGAAAATGGAGCCCTGGCAAGGAACTTGGACTTTGTCCTGAGGGCATCTACAGTAGCGATCCAGTAGCGATCCAGACATCACAGAGTCCACAGAGTGGTAAGCCAGGGACAGAGGTCATTGAACTGCGCTGGCCACCCTGGGGAGGACAACAAGGGGAGGGCAGGAGAGGAGGAGGCAGGCCTGCCAGGAAGAGGCTGTGTCAGCACATCATCTCCAGGGGCCTGGGAAGGGGGGTAGCTCCTGATGGGTTCCCGTCCCCACAGCCTGAGTGTGGACAGACAGATGGACACCTGGGAGCTTCACCTTCCCAGGTGGTTTATGGTTTTTCTTTTTTTTTTTTTAATATTTTATTTATTCATTTTTTTTAAAGATTTTATTTATTCATAGAGATGCAGAGAGAGAGAGAGAGAGAGGCAGAGACACAGGCAGAGGGAGAAGCAGGCTCCACGCAGAGAGCCAGACGCGGGACTCAATCCAGGGTCTTCAGGATCACGCCCTTGGCTGCAGGCGGTGCTAAACCGCTGCGCCACCAGGGCTGCCCTTATTTATTTATTCACGAGAGACACAGAGAATGAGAGAGAGAGAGAGAGAAAGAGAGGCAGAGACACAGGCAGAGGGAGAAACAGGCTCCATGCAGGGAGGCCGACGTGGGACTCGATCCTGGGTCTCTAGGATCACGCCCTGGACTGAAGGTGGTGCTAAACTGCTGAGCCACCCGGGCTGCCCTGGTCTGTGGTTTTTTTTTTTTTTTTTTATTTTTTTTATTTTTTTTGGTCTGTGGTTTTTAACTCAGTTTGAGTGGTCACCTTCTTTGCTCCAGCTGCCTTCAATTAAAATACACCCCTGTGGGATGGTGGGTGACGTTACATTTAAAATTTATATATAAGTTACATATTTTTCTTTGTATTTCTCATTTTCCAATATAAATATAAAGACTTGTGCAGTTCATTTAACATACATGTAATTCTTAGAGCTGTTTTTTTCTTTTTTTTTAAATTTTATTTATTTATGATAGTCACAGAAAGAGAGAGAGAGGCAGAGACATAGGCAGAGGGAGAAGCAGGCTCCATGCACCGGGAGCCCGATATGGGATTTGATCCTGGGTCTCCAGGATCACGCCCTGGGCCAAAGGCAGGCGCTAAACCACTGCGCCACCCAGGGATCCCTGTTCTTTTTTTTCTTTCACATGAGCCATCTTGGCTTTACTTTGGAGAAGTTGGCCAAGGGCTTTACAGGCATTGTAAAAGAACAGGTGTCACAGGTCCTGTGTTGTGCCCTTTGCAGTCACATCATCCAGGGCACCTCTCCTCACCTCTTTGAAGTTTCCTTGTCTCCCAGATGGTGCTGATGCTGCCCTGATCACAAGCAGGATCAGAGGTGTGATGGTATTAGGACAGTGTATAACCTAGTATAGTAATAACAGCTTCATTGTATACTAATATACCACTATCCACCAGCTGTGTAAAATGATCCAATGCAAGACATCTGGATTCCCACTTAGCCTGATGCACGTTTGTTCTCAAAATGAATGATGTCAGACTGTAGTGATTACCATCAAATGCATTAAGATACTTGTTTAAGCAAGTTCCACACCTTCCCCTGTCCTCAGGACCTGGCCATGCGCTCATTGAGCAGTGGAATCCTGTGGGCCTGGTTGGTATCATCACTGCGTTCAACTTCCCTGTGGCTGTGTATGGCTGGAACAATGCCATCGCAATGATCTGTGGGAACGTATGCCTTTGGTAAGAACTCCCTTTCTTACTCAGTGTTAAGGTGATAAAAGTAGCCATTTTCAGGTATTACTAAAAGTATTTTCTTTCTTTCTTTCTTTTTTTTTTTACTAAAAGTATTTTCAATGTATTGAAATGTTTTCTTTTTTTTTTTTTTAATTTTTATTTATTTATGATAGTCACAGAGAGAGAGAGAGAGAGAGGCAGAGACACAGGCAGAGGGAGAAGCAGGCTCCATGCACCGGGAGCCCGATGTGGGATTTGATCCCGGGTCTCCAGGATCGCGCCCTGGGCCAAAGGCGGGCGCCAAACCGCTGCGCCACCCAGGGATCCCTGAAATGTTTTCTAATATCCTACACTTTATTTTTTAATTTTAATTGGATTAATTAACATAATGCATTATTAGTTTCAGACAGATCAGTGACTCATCAGTCTTTTTTTTTTTTTTTAATAAAGATTTTATTTATTCATGAGAGACAGAGAGACAGGCAGAGACACAGGCAGAGGGAGAAGCAGGGCTCCATGCACGGAGCCTGACACGGGACTTGATCCTGGGTCTCCAGGATCACACCCTGGGCTGAAGGCGGCGCTAAACTGCTGAGCCACCCGGGCTGCCCTCATCAGTCTTATATAACACCCAGTGCCCATTACATCACATGCCCTCCTTAATGTCCATCACCCAGTTAACCCCATCCCTCCAACTCCATCCCCTCCAGCTACCCTCAGTTTGTTTCCTATGATTAAGCGTCTCTCGCTTGCTGATTTCATCTTGTTTGAACATATAAGTCACATTGCTAGTTGTAGAGTGCTGATTTTTTATTACTACATATTATGCTATTGGTATAATTAATTTTTTTGCCTTATTTTTTTTTTGACAAAGGCTTGTCCTTATTCTGGTTTCCAGCTCTTTCCACCCCAAGTGGGTATACTGCAAGAGTTGGTGTTGGCTCTGCAGATGTAAGGGCTTAACCCTTCACAAGGTTTTTCCTCTTCAGATGTCGGCCAAGAGCATCCCCAGGTCATCAGGACATCTGCAGTTCTGGCCCGCCATATATCAATTAGGAGGTCCCCATGAGGCCTCAGTTTGAGTAATTCACTAGAATGACTCACAGAACTCAAGAAAGTGCTTTATTTAATGATTATAGTTTTATTTTAAAAGTCTCATACTCTACTAGCTGAGCCAGTCAGGCACTTGAATACAGTTCTATTTTAAAGGATACGCATAGGGTAAGGGGTAGAAGGTCCCAGATGCAGAGCTTCCATGCCTTTTCCCAGTTTAGTTGGAGCATGTCACCCTACCTACCAGGAGGCTGTACTCAGCTTTGGTGAGTACAGTTTTTATTGGAGTTTCCTTAAAAAGTCACAGTTGATGAAATCATTGAACAGGTGATTGGACTCTCAGCCATGCTCCATTCCTGGTAGGTAGGTGGAGTGGGGGGACATAGGTGGAGTTCCAACCCTCTAATCACACTGTTGGTTTTTATGGAGATTAGTGACCAGTCTAGCAAACTGCACAGGTCACCTTGTTAGCATAACAGAGACACTTCTATCCCTCAGGAAATTCCAAGGGGTTCCAATTATTTCAGAAACTGGGAACAAAAACCCAGGTGTATTCTTTATGCCACACTCTTCAAACAAAACTCAGTTTAAAAGTTAGAAAAAAAGAACTTGGGAAGAGTTACAACCTTCTTTGTGAAATTTGACTCCCCCCTACCTTCAATAAAAATTTCATAGTGAATTCCCAAGTTATTGATTCTGCAGCCCTTGGCTGCAGTTAAAGATATTAATTTTAACGTCTTTTTTTTTTTTAAGATTTTATTTATTCATGAGAGACAGAGAGAGAGAAGCAGAGACATAGGCAGAGGAAGAAGCAGGCTCCTCTTAGGGAGCCTGATGTGAGACTCGATCCCAGGACCCTGGGATCATGACCTGGGCTGAATGCAGATGCTGAACCACTGAGCCACCCAGGCATCCCAACTTTAACACCTTTATAAAATGCATGATAGAAGTTGATTAGGAAAATTTCTATTTCATAGATGACAAAACACTTGCTTGTTTTTAGCTTCCATGGTGAGTAGAGGAAGTGAGATCAGGAAAACCAGGAGAACTGTCTTTGCCCATTTGGCATCTGTCTCACTGGCTCTTCACTTAACCGTAATGTTGTGTTCAATTGAGTATATTCAAAGACTGTCTATAAAAGCCTGGCATCGTAGGGGGATGAATGATTGGCACCATGTTGCCAGAGGGCCCCATGCTTTCCAGTGTTTTAATTCATAAAGATGGGTCATATGGTTTTTCTCAGCCCTCTGAGCCTTCTGAGGAACTTCTGAAGTTCACATTGATAGATTTCCATTTCCATAACTGACAAAGGTTAATGTAATGAATGGTTCCTGTGTTTAGTCTGGGAAGCAGGTTCAAAATTGTTCAGTGTCATTTTCTTTTTCTTTTTTTTTTTAAGATTTTATTTATTTGAGAGAGTGAGAAAGCTAGAGCAGGGGCAGAGGCAGAGGGAGAAGCAGGCTCCCCACTGAGCAGAGAGCCCAAAGATATGATGATATGGGGATGCAGGGGATGCTGGACTCCTCCCAGGACCCTGAGATTATAACCTGAGACAAAGGCAGACACTTAACTGAGTCACCCAGGCTCCCCTGTTTGGTGTCATTTTTATGTTTTGCAAAGTTTTGTAGTCCCTTGGGTCCCAGATACAAAGCTTTAGAAGGACAGATTTTGATTTCAGTTACTAGGTTTTGTGGTCTAATTGGACAGAACTCCTCACAAAGAGTTTTGCTTCTTCTTGACAGGAAAAAGTATATATGATTTCTACCAAATTAAGTTGTCCTTTTTTTTTTTTAACCCTCTTAAGGAAAGGAGCTCCAACAACTTCCCTCATTAGTGTAGCTGTCACAAAGTAAGTATGTGGCTTTCTTTTTCTTGAGTCTTGAATAATCTCAGAGGGTGATTGATAGGCACTGATTTGTAATCCTGTGTGGAAGGGTCATATTTACTTAAGCATGGAACTTGGATAAACTCTTTCTCCTTTGATTGTAATAACATTTTGATAATCATTTTACAGTATATGGAGTTCTTTCAGAGCCGTATCATTGAACTCTTTGGAAACATTCTAGTATTGATTAACATGTTGAAATTGAGCTCTTATAAACCTTTATTTCACTTGGAAAAGAAAAATCCTGTGGAAAGGAAATTGTGCAGTTTAGGGGCTGTATTTAGTAATTGCTGAACATGTTCATGGTTTTGATTTCTACTTTCATTGCTTTCATTTAATAGGTGGTTGGCAAAACAGAAAGAAATGGTTATTATACTGTTCTACTGATTCTAACAATGTCTAAAATGTATTTCATTTTTTGGTTATGAAATTATTTTTTTAATTCATTTTTGAGAACTTAACAACACTGATTAGGTCATAAAATTTGTGTTCCTGATGTGTCATTGGAATTTGGAATCTGTATAGAAAGAGGATGTCTTTCCATGTACAGGGATGTGTGTTGACCTTCCTTGATGTTCCATTGGTTGCATGGTCTGCATTCTCTGATTGAAGAATTGCTAGTAGAAAGCATGTGGAGTCTCTGTGGAAGAGGGTCCTTAATGTTTAGAAACTTAGGGATAGTGGCTTAGCAATTGCAACATAGGCTAAAACAGAGTAGTGTGGGTTAGTATTTACTTGAAGGGACTATGTGCTATTGAGGAAACTTTATCCTCCAAAGCAAGATAATTAAGTTGGCTAATTAAATAATTATTGACCTATAATAATTAAAATGTATGATTATACTTATAGTTATTACTGACAACTGTAATCTACAAAACACATGAGACAGAACACATCTATAAAAATGATGAGGTTCCCAGGCAGTTTAAAAAACAAAAACCCTAAAACAGTTACTGTCCATATAGTGAACAGACTTGCCAGTTGTTATTAAGCAGCTGGTTTAAAATACGTACTTTGATAATAGTTTCAGATGTTCTAAGTGATTGCTGCTTTGAGCTTATTTATGTATTTGTTCTAAACAGTTTGAAGGATTTGAAATGTTCATATGGGAACATGGCTGGTTCTTTAGATAATTGAGAATGTTATCTGATTTTATTACAGAAGACAATAAGCAAAATGATGCTAGATTTTGCTGGAATTAACCAAGGGTGCCTTCTTCTTGCCCAGCAGTTCTTAAATTCAGCTAAATGTTCAGATTTGTAGATGATGACAGGCCACACACTGCACCTATTTCTAGTCAACAGGATGTAGAAAAGGTTGTATTTTGGGAGGAGGAGAGCATCCAGTATTTATCTTCTTCTATGTCTTCGTAGCAATTCATGCAAGAGCAGGGAGATGAGATCTGCTTTGGACAGTTGTAGCAGTTGCCCTGGTATAAAAGCCTGCTGACCCATAGGAACCAGAATGTCTTGGAACAATTCTATCAGCAGAGCTTTTAGCTACCCACAAGGGACATGAAGTTACCAGAGTCCCTGTGCTCAGGGAAGACCAGAAAGCCTGAGCTTCCCATTTACAATCCTCATGATGATACCCTGGTCTAGGTGGAGTCAACCAGTTCAGGGATCATTTCTAGCAGAAGTCCTGTTGTGTCTGTGTAGCACTGTTGACTTTCTAACACATACCAGGTAACTAGGGCAGCAAAACAACAGAGTTAATCCAAAGTCAGAAGCTCCATGCAGTATGGAAAAGGGTTTTGCAAACCTAAGGCACAAAGCAAAATCCCCACCCTCGAAGAACAATCCATCTCCTTGTGCAGACAGTATATATACCCCGAGTCCCTGGGAGAAATTGGACTGCCTGACGTCTGGTCTCAGACATGACAGTGGCACATGTGATCCTTCATGGCCTGAAAAAAAAGAACAGCACTATAAAGGACGTGTTTGGGGGACATTTGGAGAATTTACATATAGCAGTGGTATCTTTTTTTATGGAAGTGGGTTTAGGGTTTGGATTATTTTTTGAAATTTAAGTTGCATTAAAGTAGCTAGAGGGTTAGAATGATTGATAAAAAGAGCCTTGGCTCCATTTAGGTCCAAGTGCCTCAGGAAGGTCAGAATGAATGAAAGAACCCTGTGTCAGAGAAGCCAGAATTACTGAAGCCGTTTTGTACAACTATCAGATTTAAGTGGCCTTGAACTGTATTTATCATTGTAACTCAAGTAGCATAAGTCATAGGATAACATTGAAGAAGCAGCTCTGCTTGCCCACAGTGATGTAGCCTGGAGGGCGCTGGTACTTCTGGACTAAATAATTTTTTTCTTTTTAAAAAAAACAACAGTATTTTTAAAAGAATTTTGAGTATGGTAGACATGTAATGTTACATTAGTTTCAAATGTATAAAATAATTATTGGACAAATATGTACATTATGCTGTGCTCACCACAAGTGTAGCTCCCGACTGTCACCATACAATGCTATTACAATGTCATTGACTATATTCCTTACACTGTGCCTTTTATTCTCATCACTTACTTGCTCCATAACTGGAAGCCTGTACTCCCACTCCCCTTCACCCATTTTACCCATCCTCCCATCCCCAACCTGGGCAACCATCAATTTGTGAACTAAAGAATTTGGTACAAAGCCAGTGGATACTGGTCTTGAACACGCTTAGGTTCTGCTGGCAGGTCCAGCTCCCTTTGCTCTAGCTCCTCAGCAGCTACTCTAACTTAGGGGCCAGTTTCCTGTTTCATCCTTGACCACGTCCCTGGCTGGTGTCTCTTTGCAGAGATGTGTTGAAACTACTCATTTGCTGATGGAGACTACCTTTCCTTTTCTTCATTTTTCTAGGTTTTATTCCTTTTTATTTCTTACCCTCATTTTAATGGATTTGTGGCAAGAGACCCCAAAAAATGCTCTGTGATCAGTCTGTCATCTTGAACCCAGCCTGATGTTCATAGTTTGGCAGAAAATCTTTGAAAACAACGAACACTTGAACTACCTGACCAGTGTGTTGTGTCTTTTATTTTTGCAAGTATTTTTCTTTTTTTTTTTCTTTTGAGAGAGAGAGGTGAATCTTAAGCAGGCTCTACACCCAGTGCAGAGCCTGATGTAGCGCTGTATCTCACGACTCTGAAGTCATGAGCTGAGCTGAAATCAAGAGTTAGACGCTCAACTGACTGAGCCATCCAGGAGCCCCATGTATTTTTTTCCTTAAGATTTTAAGGAAATAATTGTGCTTTTAAGTGTTGGAAAATCTTATCTCTTAATATGTGAGGTTGGAATCCCGGCCTGCCTGTTGGGGTGGTGAGTAGAGGTTGGGGGAGAGAGTTGAAAAAGGGAAGTCAAGTGGTTGGAAATTATTCCTAGTTTAAAAAAAAAAATAACCTCTTAGAAATTAAATTGTTCCCTTTTTAATAATTGCTTTTTTTCCTTTGTAGAATAATAGCCAAGGTTCTGGAGGACAACAAGCTGCCTGGTGCTATTTGTTCCTTGACCTGTGGTGGAGCAGACATTGGGTAGGTCAGTGGGCCCAGAGTAGCTCTCTGTTGAAAGACTCCAGCTTGATTGATTAGAATCTTTTTTTTTTTTAATTAATTTATCTGAGAGGGGAGAGATAGTGAGGGAGAGCATGAGGGAGAAGCAGGCTTCCTGCTGAGCAGGGAGCTTGATGTGGGACTCAATCCCAGGACCCTGGGATCATGACCTGAGCTGAAGGCAGATGCTTTAATCACTTGAGCCACTCAGGCACCCCTAGAATCTTACTTATTAGAATAATGAAACCCTATATAGCTGAGGAGGTGAGAGTAGTTTTTGTTAATCATTATTATTTTTTATTTCATTGGGCTTTGCCTTTATGACTACATAGCCTTTGTTGGAAGATGAGTAAGAATTGTCTTTTTAATTGTCCAGAGCTACTTTTATGAGGTGTTGATAGCCTAAAATAAGAAACCACTGTATAAATATATAAAGCAAGTAGAATTACAGTTTGGTGTCTCCCTCTGCTCCCCATCCTATTATCTAGGCTCTTCAGCTGAACAAAAAAGGGACCTCTGGGAATACAGCCTCTTTTTTAAAATATATTGTTTTTAGAAAATTGCTGCATAACTCACATACCATAAAATTCTCTTAAAAAAGTATGGTTGAATGGTTCTTAGAATATTCATAGTGTTGTGCAACCATCACCATTGTTGTTTCAAGAATATTTTCATTACACCAAAAGGGAACTTTCATACCCATCAGCACTTAGCATCCATTCCCTTCTCATCTACTCATCTCCAGCCATTCATCTGCTCATCTCCAGAGATGTGCCTGTTTGAGACATTTTATTTTTAAGATTTTATTTATTTATTCATGAGAGACACAGAGAGAGAGGGGCAGAGACACAGGCAGAGGGAGAAGCAAGCTCCATGCAGAGAGCCTGATGTGGGACTCGATCCCGGGTCTCCAGGATCAGGCCCCGGGCTGAAGGCGGCGCAAAACCGCTGAGCCACCCGGGCTGCCCACATTTCTTTTTTCTTTGCTTTAAAATTTTTTTTTTTTATTCTTAAGATGTTATTTATTTTTTCATGAGAGACACAGAGAGACAGAGACATGGGCAGAGGGAGAAGGCTCCCTGAAGGGAGCCTAATATGGGACTTGATCCCGGGATCCTGACCTGAGCCAAAGGCAGATAGTCAGTTGATCACTGAGCCACTCAGGTGTCCTAAAAATCTAGTTCATTTTCATGAAGAACTTCCCTTGCACTGTTGGGACAGACATTTTTTGTTTCTGACTAAGTGCTCGTCTATGATGAGGAATCATGTTCCAGTAGCTGCTACCACTTGCTGGGTTTCTCTGCCTTGGGTGACGCTGATTGTTCCCCTGCAGCACAGCTATGGCCAAAGATGAGCGGGTGAACCTGCTGTCCTTCACTGGGAGCACACAGGTGGGAAGACAGGTGGCCCTTATGGTGCAGGAGAGGTTTGGTAAGTATTGACTTGCTCATGAGGACCACCCTTCCCTCAGGTGTGGCTATGAAATCTAAAAGTTGCCTTTTTTTCCCCCTCATCCTTTCTGCAGATACACCAGCCATGTTGTTTATTTGACTATCCCAGTGAAAAAGGAGAGGTATAGTTATTAATAATAGGGAGATTGCAAATTTAGTAGCATAATTTGGAAAAGGATGCCATTTTCCCCATGAATGACCAAAGTGAAATCCTTTCAATTGCATTTCTTTATTTCTATCAGAAGTGTTTGACAAATGAAAAACAGAAAACTCACACTTTAAGCAGGACCAGGGATTGATAAGACCTAGAGTGAGTATGGAACGGAATGCTTAAATATGCTCATCTCCTTTTACATTTTATATATGTAAAACTGGCAAGGATTGTATGCACACAGCTTTGTGTGCTCCACTCTATGGCTTACTAAAGAGGTTTTCAGGAATAATATTCACCGTCAAATTTTGGTTCTTGTGCTGAAGTTTAACCCTAGCGTAAGATGAGGCTTGACTTCTAAATCTTCCAGCTGTTTGGCTATAAAGGTGTTGCATGCATTTATTTGTTTGTTTTATTTAATTTTATTTATTTAATTTTATTTATTTTTTTTAAAGATTTCATTTATTTATTCGTGAGAGACAGAGAGAGAAAGGCAGAGACACAGGCAGAGGGAGAAACAGGCTCTATGCATGGAGCCGGACATAGGACTCGATCCCAGGTCTCAAGGATCAGGCTCTGGGCTGAAGGCAGCATCCCATTTTTAGTTTTTGAAAAACTTAATATTGTTACAGCCTAAGAGCAATACCGCTTAGATAATCTACGGATTCATTGCAGTCCCTTTTAAAATGTCAGCTAGCTTCTTTGCAGAAATTCACAGAAATTAGATGAAATGTGAAGGACCTCAAGCAGCTGAAAACATTTTCAAAAAGAATAAATTTGGAGGACCCATACTTCCTGATGTCACAACTTAATACAAAAATTCAGTAATTGAGACAATGTCTTGGCATAAGGACAGACATAAAGATCATTGGAAGAACAGTGAGAGTCCAGAAATAAATCCATAGTTATGGTCATTTGATTTTTTAAAAAATATTTATTTATTCATGAGAGACACCAAGAGGCAGAGGGAGAAGCAGGCTCCGTGCAGGGAGCCCAGTGTGGGACTCAATCCCAGGACTTCAGGGTCACACCCTGAGCTGAAGGCCTGCACTCAACTGCTGAGCCACCCAGCTGTCCCATGGTCATTTGATTTTTAGTAAGGGTGCTAGGACATTTCAATGGAGAAAGAGTCATCTTTTCAACAAAGGGTACTGGGACAACTAGATAAATCTATGTACATAGGTATGAAAAGATCCCTACTTCATCCTATACCCAAAATATAATGTTCTGAAGACCTGAATATAAGAGCCAGAACTATCAAACTCATAGAAGAAAACAGGGATAGGTTTTTGTGACCTTGGATTAGGCAGTGGTGTCTTAGACATGACACAGGCAACAAAAGATACAGTAGGCTTCATCAAAAATAAAAATTTTTGTGCTTCCACAAATACTTACCAAAAAGTAGAAAGAACAACATACAGAATGGGAGAAAGTATTTGCAGATCCTTTATCTGAGGAGACATTCGTCTCTAGAATAAATAATTCTTAAAAATTCAACAATAGAAAAAAAGCCCCATTAAAAAATGGGCAAAGTTTGTGAATAGATAGTTCCTTTGAAGATCCACAGCTGGCCCAGGAAGCATGTGCCAGGGTGCTCTAGGTCGTTAGTACTGCTGTCTCCACTAGCAGGTTCATCTCTTCCTTCTCTTTTCCCCTTCTTACTCAAAGCTGTAGTTTGTTATTCTCACTGAAGTAGTACTGTTTTGTAGCAGGATTACAGTCTTTAGAAACACGTATCCATCTTTCAATTACAGGTTCTTGGAGAAGGTTGGTGGTTATGAGTATAGTTAGGGTGCACGTAGAGAATTAGAAGGTTATGAAATATATAGGTCCCTTCTCTGCGGTGTGTCCCTGGAAGCCAGGCAGCGGGAGCCCATGTTCGGTGTAGAATCTGCTGCTCTATTCCTTTTCTTAGCTTTTCTTAGCATAGAGAAGAGAAGAGCAGCTTCTTCTGCTGAAGCCAGCAAGCTGGCTTAAATGCCTGTAGTAGCAAAGACTACAACTGATAGTAGCAGTGACTTCTGGTAATAACAGCCCCATCTCCTTATAATGTCCCCTGGATCTTTCACTGTTTCAGAGCATTGGAGAGAAAACATATTCTCCCTGCTGTCACATGTTCTCCTGATATCACAAATAAAAAAATTTATTCATGTAGAAGCTGATTTTAAAGGGAATTTAAGGAAAAATATTCAAAAGGTCCAAAGTAAACACAAGCTCTAAAATTGAGACAAATCTCTGCTCTTTCTGCTAAGGTGTGTAAATTAAGAGTGGTGTTCATAGCCTCTGTGTAACTTTCCTGGAATGCAGGTTGGCGGTGTATAGCAAGAGCTACCCTATGGCCCTACTGAAATAGATAATCGAGGTAGATAGATGATCAGTAACCAATAAATCCAACACTAGAGAGTAGGTAAGTAAAATTTAGTAGATCATCATGTTGAAATAGTTATATACAGTGATTTTTTTTAATTTAAATTCAATTTGCCAACATACAATGTAACATCCAGTGCTCATCACATCACATGCCCTCTCTAATGTTCATCACCCAGTTACCGTATCCCTGCTCCTACCTCCTTCAACAACTCTCAATTTGTTTCCTAGAGGCAAGAGTCTCTCATGGTTTGTCTTTGAGTGATTTTTTTTTTTAATAGCTCTTAACTTATGGAAAAGGTGTTGAGAGCAAATTAGTTCCTATGATGTCAAGTAAATATAAAGGAACAGCAAAGAGATTTGAAGGTGCTGTATCAAATTATAAGGAGAGATTTCATGGTGACTTATGAGCTGTAGCTTTTTGCCTGTTTGATAATTTCTGATTTAAAAAATATTTTTTTTCCTACAATGAGCACATAATTTCTTAACTTTCTTTTGTTGTGGTAAAAGAAATGTGTATATATATTATATATATATATATATATATATAATATATATATATAAAGAGTAACAAAATTCTTTTAACCATTTTAAATTTACACTTCTGTGGGATTAAGTACATTTTTTTCTTTTTTAAGATTTTATTTATTTATTCATGGGAGACAGAGAGAGAAAGAGGCAGACACAGGCAGAGGGAGAAGCAGGCTCTCCATAGGAGCCTGATGTGGGACTTGATCCCGGACCTGGGATCAGGCCCTGAGTCAAAGGCAGATGCTCAACCGCTGAAACCACCCAGGTATCCCTGCATTTTCATTGTGCAACCATCACCATCATCCCTCTCTAGAACTTTTTTGTTTTCCCAATTTTATCCCCATTAAACATGAACTCCCCATTTCTGCCATCCTTCAGCCCTTGGCAACCATCATTCTCCTTTCTTTTCTTTTCTTTTTTTTTAAGGTTTTATTTATTTATTCATGAGAAACACAGAGAGGAGAGGGGCGGGGGGCAGAGACACAGGCAGAGGGAGAAGCAGGCTCCATGCCGGGAGCCCGATGTGGGACTCGATCCCGGGTCTCCAGGATCACACCCTGGGCTGAAGGCAGCGCTAAACCGCTGAGCCACCTGGGCTGCCCTCTCCTTTCTTTCTTCGTGGATTTGACTAGTCTAAGAACCTCCAATGAGTAGTGTCATCAGTGAGTAGTGATTTGTGCTTTTGTGACTGGCTTACTTTACATAGCATGTTATAAGGGTTGTGGCATATGTTGGAATCTTCGTCCATTTTAGAGATGGATAGTATTGTGTTTATTTGTTCATTTATTGAGGGACCTTGGATTGCTTCCACCTTTTAGCTATTGGTTAAGTACCCAGAAGTGGATTGCTAGATTATATGGTGATTCTATGTTTAATATCTTGGCAGGTGACACAATTTCCCACAGTTAAAGAGTTTCAGGAGGTATAACATCATGGTGAGAGAAAAGTTAGACTAACAGAAGGAATTTCTATATATCCTTTAATGAAATTCACCTAATTGCTTACATGTTGCCCCATTCATCATTTTCTCTCCCTAGCAACATGCACGCATGTACATAAACATTGAGTGCATATTGGTTTTTTAACCTTCGAAGAAATGTTGAAGACACTAAATATCTTGGTCTGTTTCTTCAAATTAGGACATTGGGCCATATAACTATGGTATAGTTATGAAAATCAAGAAGTTTGACATTGATGGAATGTTCATGCTACATTTTGAATCTGAAAATAAAATTAATTTAAAATAATTGAAGTGGACTGTGATTTGAGGCTGTGTCTTGCAATGTGCATTAAATACTGACATGGACATTAATGTGTGTTTATGTGTTTTTAAAGGGAGAAGCTTGCTAGAACTTGGAGGAAACAATGCCATTATTGGTAAGGCTGCACTTCATTTGTTTTCTGCTCAGAATAGCTTTGGTAGCCACAGGGAACCTACAGAATTCACATAGACACTCCTCCCTCCTCTGCTGTGTGTGTCTAAGACATAATCTTAGCTTTCAGGATTTACTTGTGAGACAGGACACAAAGGTTTGAAGGCAGAGATGACTAGAAAGGACAGGTGTTCCTGTTGGGAAATGCTACCTAGGGCTTAGAGCCCATGTCTGAGACTTCCTAGTGTGGCATGATTTCTTATTTTTCCTTCTGCTTTCTGAAAACTGGCCAAATATTTCTCTGGAGTAAATAACTCGCTTTTTTTTTTTTTTTTTTTTTTAAGATTTTATTTATTTGAGAGTGAGAGTGAGCAAGACAGCACAAGCAGGGGGAGGAGCAGAAGGAAAAGATAGAGTAAGAGAGGTAGACTCCCTGCTGAGCAGGGGTCCAATGCAGGACCCCATCCCAGGACTCCAGGATCACAACCTGAGCCAAAGGAGGACACTTACCGGTTGAGCCACTTAGGCACCCCTAAATAACTTACTCTTAGATGACCTGCTGATTCCTTTATATTTCATAAAAGTTAGCCTATCCATTGTGAAATGCTGAGTGCTTTTATATTGGGAAGGAGCTTTTAAAGCATTTGATCGTTTACCTGTAGGCTTGGAGTTGACTTGATTTTCTTTTTTGGTTGTTAGGTGCAAAAGGAAATAGGCTACCAGCCTTTTTTGGATAATGAACATCAGTAGGATGAGGCTTGATAGAAGCATGAATTTTGTGCTAAAAAAGCAAAATTTGGTAATTTGTATATTGCCATCATTCTCCTCCTGTGTAAATGCCTGTATATTTATGGTGTACATCAGAAATTTAAAAAGTGTGGTGATGGGTTTATTTTGGTTGAACTCCTCTAGTTAAAGAGCATTCATTTAAACATACAATTAGCATTTAGTGACCACTGGGTATTCACAGATACTGTGCTCAGCTGTTTCATCTGGGTTATTTCCTTTAATTCCTACAGTAATCCCACGAGGTACATACGATTATTTTTTTTTAATTTTTTTTTAATTTTTTAATTTATTTTATGATAGTCACACAGAGAGAGAGAGAAAGAGGCAGAGACATAGGCAGAGGGAGAAGTAGGCTCCATGCACCGGGAGCCCGACGTGGGATTCGATCCCGGGTCTCCAGGATCGCGCCCTGGGCCAAAGGCAGGCGCCAAACTGCTGCGCCACCCAGGGATCCCGTACATACGATTATTAATCTCATTTGACTCTGTCTTGGGGTAAAGACCATAGAGCTCATCATTCTGCTCTTAGGCCATCCTTCCTGGAAAGAAAGTTGGCTTCTGATGTGAAGCATGCTTGTATGGGGTTAATGCTGCTACTCCTCTGACTGAGCTTTCTGACAGCATCACTTAGTACCAGTTAGCTTATCTGTTTGGTGACACTGATGGGGATCTGTTTTGTTTTTCTAAGCTTTTGAGGATGCAGACCTCAGCTTAGTTGTTCCATCAGTCCTCTTCGCAGCTGTGGGGACAGCTGGCCAGAGGTGTACCACGGCGAGGCGCCTGGTGAGTGTGTCTGCGTGGGCGCATGACATTCCATGAATTTGTCTTCAAACCCTGCTTAGTAACAAGTTGTACTGTTAGGAAGTGGCGTAGAAGTACAGCTAGAAAAATGTATTCTGTAGACGTGGTTGGCACATCTGTGCTCCTATTAGTCTCTTCCTTGCTCGAAGCAGATGGTGCTGATCAGCCAGGGACTCTACATCACTCTCCACCCCAAACTGAAAGTGGACTCACGCTAATTGATTGGAGTTTGACTGAGAGATGAGAACCGTTGTCAGTGTTAAACCTGGAATAATAGAGACAAAGTCCAATGTTACTTAAAGAATAAAATCAGGTCAAAGTTTGAAGAATTCAAAAATTATTTGCTGAAAGATAGATAGCCTTGGCTTTTTCATAAAAACACTTTAAATAGTAAAGTATTATAAAGATTTTGATTTTGGGCCTGTAAGTCTGGTATTAGATCTAGACTTAGTATGGCATGGTTTATTTATTTTTTAATTTTTAAAAAATATTTTGTTTTATTATTTATTCATGAGAGACACACACACACACACACAGAGGCAGAGACACAGGCAGAGGGAGAAGCAGGCTCCATGCAGGGAGCCCGACACAGGACTCGATCCCAGGTCTCCTCCAGGATCACGCCCTGGTCTGAAGGCGGCGCTAAACTGCCAAGCCACCGGAGCTGCCCTGGCATGGTTTCTTGAAAAGCAAGTGACTTTATATTTGTTGTCTCTGCATGAATATATGGCCGGCACACTCATATATAGGACAGGTCAGTATTAAGTGCATATAGGGAGATGTGGTTTAGCATCCATGTGTGGAATTTGGAAAATTTAATCTCCAGACTTAGATTTGAGCTGGATTTCAGTTTTATGTAGGATACAACCCTGATTTTCATGACTCTCATGGTACTGAAAACCATACTACAACCAAACACATTTTGATTAGGTACAAGATGTGGCTCCATTTTACCTTTTTTTCTTGAGAGAGAGAGAGAGCAAAGTGAGGAGGAGCAAGAGAGGGAGTAAGAATATCTACCTAAGCAAGTTCCACACCCAGCAGGAGCCCGACCAGGGACTCAACCTCATGACCCTGAGATTATGACCTGAGCCAAAATCAAGAGTCCGGTCGCTTAACTGAATGAGCCACCTAGGCATCTCTACATTTGGCATTTAAAAAATTACTCTTAAGTTTTCCTTCTTAATTAAAAAAAAGTTTTGCAATTAATTACAGAGGAGTTGGCTTTGTATTTTTATTCTCTCCCATAATGAGTAGGAACCAATTCTTTATAAGGTTGATATAATGTAAATTAATTAGAATAAAAGACATCTGTAAAGTAAGTCTCTTTTTTCTATAACTTTTCATATTGATTTTACCCCTGTATTTGGCAGTAGTTGATAATCTGTATTTCCTTTGTTGTTCCATAGTTGAAGTTTTCAAAAAACTGAGATACTATGTTCATAGAATATTTTATAACTTACTAAATTTGTTTGCTTTAAACATTTATTGCACTAATGCTGAGAAGGAAATCAGTATTCCAAAAAATAATTTAATCACATGTTAAAGTTTGAAATGAAATGGAAGGCAAGCATTTGTTTATTCAGCCAAGTTTTATTTTTCCTTTGTATGTTGGGGCAAGTGTACATAATCATGCTTTATATTTAGTCTTAAATGTTAGAGGATACTGTTACCCACTGCCCACATTGGTTTCCATAGGGACAATTAGTGACATGTAGAAAAATCCTTTCCAGTATGGTGGACCTCTCCAAGACTGTCAGTCCATTTGCTACATGAAGACCAACCCAGAAAATGGATGGTTTGACAAGTTCATCTGCATCAGCAGGAATGTAGCATGGAGCTTACCATCCTACCGAGAGTGAGGTTGAGGCCTCCCTCTGGAACCCTGCTTGGCCTGAGGCTAAGGGCGTGCTGTTACACAGCTGTGCTGGGCTGACCATACAGTGTGTGTTCACTATGACTGAGACAGAGAAACTTGAGGTTCTCTGGTACCTAACATGTCGAATGCTCTAGAATAAAAACAGGCCTGAATGATGTGTGAGGCTTGGCCAGATAGGTTCTTAGAAACTTGATGAAGACATGGCTTATAATTTTTTTCTAACCTTTACCGAGTGGAAATTATTATCTTAATGTAGTTAATATTAAAATTAGAAGTTATAGAATATTTATGTTTGCTTATGTTTTCAGAGATCACAATATTTAAAAACCATTATGAGTTGTAAATCAGTACTATTAAGGAAAATTGCACATTGTTACAAATTTGTATGTTTGACTCTTCCCTTGAATGTTTCTTTTTTCATGTAGTTTTTACACGAAAGCATCCATGATGAAGTTGTAAATAGGCTTAAAAAGGCCTATGCGCAGATCCGTGTGGGGAACCCATGGGACTGTGAGTATCTATCTGACTCATTTCAAAATGTTCTGATCTTTCTGTTTTTTATTTTCTGAGAGGCAGGAGGGCATAAGAAGCAGAGTTATTGGGCACTGGGGATATCAGGTCTGCTCCTAAGCTTAGGATCCTGAGTGCTTTTTTTTTTTTTTTTTTTTTTTAAAGAATTTATTTATGTATTCATGAGAGACATGGAGAGAGAGGCAGAGACATAGGCAGAGGGAGAAGCAGGCTTCCTGAGGGACTCAATCCTGGGACCCTGGGATCACGCCCTGAGCCAAAGGCAGATGCTCAACCACTGAGCCACCCAAGTGTCTTAAGATCCTGAGTGCTTGATGTCAGCTGGTGGGTGAGCTTAGGAGGTGATGTTCAAATAGGATGAGTTGACAAGCTTTTCTCTCTTCACTCTTTATGATGCTCGTGTAAGCCATCACCATCCTCATGGAAGGGTGCGTGAGTCACCTGACTTGCTAGCTTCCACTTCTGCTTTCCAAAGAAGCCAGGATGATTTTTTTTTAATGTAATTAGATTAAAAATAATTCACTTTCTTGCTCCCTCCACTCCAGTGACTCTTAATTGCTCTTAAATGGAGACCTGGATTCTTTCCCAGTCCCTCTGGATCTGGCTCATAGTCTTTCATGCTGTGACTTATTCCTCCTCTGCTTAACCCACCCCTGACTTCCTGTGTACCCCTTGCTACCCCCTGCTCCCTGAGCTCTCCATCTTTCTCACAGAGCTCCATGTGTCCCAGGCTCCATCCTGCTACCTTTTCCATTGGAAATGCCCTTCACCCCACTTTTCCCAGACAGGAAAAGCTATCTGAGAGCAGAATCCTTCTCCCTGGGAGAAGCGGGCTCCCCATTTACCTACCACTGGTGCTCTAAGATACCATATCAGTGAGGCATACCTGACTCTCCCTTCTTCCACTGTCCCCTAGCCACCTCTCAGGTTCTGGATTCCAGCAGCCATATAGGGCAGCATCTGTCTTTTCCTGTTAAATTCCACACCAGCTCCTGAGCCTGTGGAGATTGTAGAGAATGATCTCATGGTCATGAATAAGTGGATCTTACTTTTTTTTTTAAAGATATTATTTAGGGATCCCTGGGTGGCGCAGCGGTTTGGCGCCTGCCTTTGGCCCAGGGCGTGATCCTGGAGACCCTGGATCAAATCCCACGTCGGGCTCCCGGTGCATGGAGCCTGCTTCTCCCTCTGCCTCTCTCTCCCTATGTGACTATCATAAATAAAAATTAAAAAAAAAATAAAGATATTATTTATTGGGGATCCCTGGGTGGCACAGTGGTTTAGCGCCTGCCTTTGGCCCAGGGCACGATCCTGGAGACCCGGGATCGAATCCCACGTCGGGCTCCCGGTGCATGGAGCCTGCTTCTCCCTCTCCCTGTGTCTCTGCCTCTCTCTCTCTCTCTGTGTGACTATCATAAAATAAAATAAAATAAAAAAATAAAATAAAATAAAATAAAATATTATTTATTTATTCACAGAGAGAAGGGCAGAGACATAGGCAGAAAGAGAAGCAGGCTCCCCATGGGGAGCCCAAAGCAGGACTCAATCTCAGGACCCCGGGATCATGCTCTGAGCCGAAGGCAGATGCTCAACCACTGAGCCCCCCAGGCATTCCAGATCTTACATTTTTAATACAGTGCCATGATTGATTAACAGCTATTCCTTTAACCCAGGCGTTGACAGATTTGGCCCACCACCTATTAATGTAGAGCAACTTTACCAGGACACAGCCCCACCCCCTGGTTTCCATGTCTTCTGTGGCTCCTTTTGCTCCCCTTGAAGAGATGAGTCGCTCCCCTCAAGGTGATGAGTCCTTGCCACCAGCATTTTCACTGAATGCCGAGCATTCAGTATTTCCTGTCCTATTGGGAAAGGTTGCTGACTCCTGCTCTACCCTGGGGACACTGTATGAAGAGTTGGGGGTGTTCATCAGGAGAGCTGTTCAGACAATAAAATGATGCCATTCAGGGTGAGATGAAGACCATGCCTTTTTCTCTGCAGCTGATGTTCTCTATGGACCACTCCACACCAAACAGGCAGTGAGCATGTTTCTTGGAGCAGTGGAGGATGCAAAGAAAGAAGGTGGCACCGTGGTCTATGGTGGCAAGGTAATGACACCTAGTGATGAGCTCCCTAGTGATGGATTTTTGCTTCCTTTTCTTAGGCACAAGTAGGGCTCCGGGCAGATTGGTGCAGGGTCTCCTACTACTGTCTTCTCTCTATCCCGTTTATAAGGGGAAATAACTTTTGGTGAGGGACAGCATAAAATGCATGGAACACTCCTGGAAGGGCACACAGGAAACTCCAAGCTATGGTTGGTTTTGAACAGAGTCCCTAGGAATTTGTATGGAAGGGAGACCTCCTTTTCCTGGGACAGTACAAGACTTTGTATTCAGTGGTCACAATCCGAACTTAGTGATTACTTTTTAAAGGCAGGGAATCAAAAACAGGGTACTCAGTAGTTTTGCAATAGGCATTTTTGCCACCAGCATTTTCACCGAAAACGTTGTTGCATAACTAATTGGTTCTAAAGGCAATTTTGGCATAAAGGGTAATGAAAATAACTGGTTGGCCAGTGTGTTGGTGTAATCAGTGGGTTGACAGTTGGGTTTTGTTTCTCTATTGATGTAGTACTCCCATTTTTATATTATATAAATCTTGGTGCTCATCATGGTCTCACCCATGGTGCAGAGTTTTGAACTCATTTCCCACAGAACTGTGAACTTTGCATTTCCCATAGAACTTTAAAATATCTGTCAATGGGCACATGGCAACATGCCAAGCACAAACCACAGGGGTAGAATACAAAGCTCAGTTAGAAGTACACATCCTAGTATTTGGAAACTGATATGATTGTTAACAAAGGAAGAAATTTAAAAAAAAAAAGAAAATTAAAAAAAATAAATAAAACAAAAAAAAACAAAGGAAGAAATTTTAGGAAAAAAGGAGGGATCCCTGGGTGGCGCAGTGGTTTGGCGCCTGCCTTTGGCCCAGGGCGCGATCCTGGAGACCCGGGATCGAATCCCACGTCGGGCTCCCGGTGCATGGAGCCTGCTTCTTCCTCTGCCTATGTCTCTGCCTCTCTCTCTCTCTCTCTCTCTGACTATCATAAATAAATAAAAATTAAAAAAATATTTTAAAAAAAAAAAAAAAAAAAAAAAAAAAGAAAAAAGGAAAAGTATTGATTGTTAACAAAGGAAGAAATTTAAAAAAAAAGAAAATTAAAAAAAATAAATAAAACAAAAAAAAACAAAGGAAGAAATTTTAGGAAAAAAGGAAAAGTATTGATTGTTAACAAAGGAAGAAATTTAAAAAAAAAGAAAATTAAAAAAAATAAATAAAACAAAAAAAAACAAAGGAAGAAATTTTAGGAAAAAAGGAAAAGTATGTCAAATGAACAGACAAATCAACAAGCAAGAAAATGTATAATTCTATAAAAGAATGATTTTGAAGACAAGTAATTAGGTACAATCCACTAAATCAGTTATTTGCACAGTATGACTTACCTACCACATGCGAGTTTTTTGTTTTTTGTTTTAGATTTTATTTATTTGAGAGAGAAATGGAGCATTAGTATGGGGAGGGGTAGAGGGCAAGGGAGAAGCAGGCTCCCCACTGAGCCAGAAGCCCTATGTGGGGCTTGATCCCAGGACCCTGAGATCATTACCTGAGCTGAAGGCAGGTGCTTAACTGACTGAGCCACCCAGGCACCTCACCTACACGTTTTTATTTTTATTTTTATTTATTTATTTATTTATTTATTTTTTAATTTATTTATGATAGTCACACACACACAGAGAGAGAGAGAGAGAGGCAGAGACATAGGCAGAGGGAGAAGCAGGCTCCATGCACCGGGAGCCCGACGTGAGATTCGATCCCGGGTCTCCAGGATCGCGCCCTGGGCCAAAGGCAGGCGCCAAACCGCTGCGCCACCCAGGGATCCCTTTTTTTTTTATTTTTTTATTTTTTTATTTATTTATGATACCTACACGTTTTTAAATGGATTCAAACATTTTGTATTTTGCAATAAAGTATTTTGAATTTTGTTTTTCATCTTTCCTGTTGTCGTTTTCAGTGAGTGTCCCTCCTGTGTTTTTTATGTGTCTTTTATGGCAAAACTGCCATTTAGCCAATTAGTTCTGTGGTGAAAATGGTTTTTAGTATGTATATTTTTTCATGTCCAGGATTTTTGCCATAATACCTTTCCTGTAAACAATTTCTTTTGATATAGAGCCAAGGCATTTTCATCTGTGGTAGGACTTGACAAGTGATTATTAGCTACAATTTATTTTCACTTCCTTTAAAATTCTGAGAACTGAGTCTCTTGAAAAGCTGTCTGACAACAGAATCCTCCCTGGTTTTCTTTTTTTTTTCTCCCTGGTTTTACACTGACACATACACATCTAGTTGGATAGAGGTGTGTATATATATTTGTGTATTTTTGTTACTTATGTTGAATTTTTCTAAGTAGCCCAAGTTAATATTTAAAATAGTTCTTTTTTTTCCCCTGTGTAATATTTACTTACATTATGTAATGCAATGTGGTATTATGGTAATAGATAACAGCTGCCATGCACAGGATTGGGAGAGTTGATCCAGGTGACTCTTGGTAAGCACACAGCTCAAAGGCTGAGAGTCAAAATGATACAGGCATATTGGAGACTCTGCCACTAACCAGAGCAGGTAGCCATGGGCATCAAGAGTTTTTTTAACAGAAGAAGCAGGTGTTAGTTTAAGTGGACATGAACCAGTGATTTGTTTACATGGAGGTTAATTAGGAGAGTATGTACAGTATATTCTTGGGCTTTTTAATTTTTGTACAATATGTATTGCTTTGCTAGGACTGCCCTAACAAAATAGCACAGACTGGGTCATTCTTTCCTTTATTCATTTGTTTATTTTTATTTTTGAGAGAGCAAGGGGAGGGGCAGTGGAGGAGGCAGAGGGACAAGCAGAGTCCATGTTGAGTGTGGAGCCCAAAGCAGGGCTTGATCCTATGACCCTGAGACCCTGACCTGAGCTGAAATGGAGTCTGATGCTTAACCTACTGAGCCACACAGACGACTCACTAGGTCATTTAAACAATAGAAGTGTACTTTTTTCACAGTTCTTGGGGCTGAGTCTGAAGTCAGAGTGCTAGCAGGATTAGGTGATCAGGCCTCTGCTGTTGGCATACAGACAGACAGCTTCTTGGTGTCTTCGTGTGGCTTTTGAGTGTGATGAGAACAGGTTTCCAGTATTCCTTTTTTTGTATAGACCTGAGTTCTATCAGATTTGGGTCCCACCTGTGTGACCTCATTTAACTTGAATTATTTCCTTAAAGGTTCTGTCCCCAAGTTCAGTCACACTGTGAGGGTTAAGGCTTCATTCACCATACTACTCTGAGGGTAGAGGGGATACAATATAGTCTTTAAACACAGACAGTAGAGATGACATTTTTTACATTGTATAAACATTTGTAAAAAGCCACCTGTAACAATGTTTTTTCCATGTAACTTGGTCGTGTCAGTATCCCAGCTTTTGTCCCTTCACTTGTTTTTCTATTTTTCTCTGACCAACTAAGTTTCAACAGGAGGCAGAGAAAGTTTTTGTAAATGATGGGGAGTTATTTTGGGGAAATAATTCATCTGTCTAAATGGTGTTTATTATTTTTTTTTCTCATAAGTTTAGGGAAAGGTTGTGTTCTCTGACCCAAAGTACCAGAAAACAAAATGCCTTCATTCTTATTTTATTTTTCTACTGAAGGTCATGGATCGCCCTGGCAATTACGTAGAACCAACAGTTGTGACAGGTCTGGCCCACAATGCGTCCATTGCACACACAGAGACATTTGCTCCGATTCTTTATGTATTTAAATTCAAGGTAAAAATGGATTGTTTCCCTTTTCTCTAGTTGAATGTTGAAACAAATGAAAAGACTAAAGAAAATGAAGGTATATGAAATTTCACTCAGTTAGCCTTTAGAGAGGTTTTAGAAAGTCACTCTGACAGTACGGATTATTATTTTTTTTTTTAAAGATTTTTATTTATTCATCAGAGACATAGGCAGAGGAAGAAGCAGGCTCCATGCAGGGAGCCTGATGTGGAACTCGATCCCAGGATTCTGGGATCACGCCCTGAGCCAAAGGTAGACGCTCTACCTCTGAGCCACCCAAGAGTCCCTGACAGTAGGAATTTGAAGGTGAAAGATCAACTATGATGATGTGAATTGAACACTCTATACCACAGAGCATGTCAAGCTAGCTGCTGGGGAAACCAAGACAGGCTGAGGACCAGAGCTGGAATTGATGGAGGATGGCTCTCCTTCGTATGTCACCTGTTCTGAGCTGTGCAACCCATATGGTCACATTCCACACAAAAGGCACCAGAGTTTGATCGCCTGAGTGCTGAGTATCAGCAGATAAATGAGAAGATACAGGAGCAGTCTAAAGACACATTTCTAACGTGTATCAGGGGACAGCCTGTGGAGCTTTTAGCAGATAGAAATAGCTAGATGGTCTCTTTCCCCACTGTGAGACAGGCCCTAGCCATATCAGAAAATATTGAGTGATAGAATCAAGGTATGGATGTGCCAGGATTAGGAGTTAAAAAATACTGAGAATTACATCCTTTTGCAACTATATGAATGCTTTTTAAAAATCTTGATTTAAATTGTCTTATCATTGTTACACATAATGTGACTAGAGAGGATAATTTCATGTTTTGTACTGTGTGTATGTGAGTGAATTCTTGAGCAAATTATTTAGTGTACCTTGACCAATCTGTAAGTTGGGGATAATATAAAACCTGTATCATTGGGTGAGAACTAAATACTTAAATGCATGCAAAGTGCCTAGGTCATGGGGTTGCACATAATAGGAGTTCAGTAAATATTAGCTCTTAAATGTAGTACCTCGAATGGACGCATGTACTGTCTGTTTTTCAGAGTGCAATAAAGGAAAACTCCACAAAGCTGTGTATATTAGAGAAACAGAATTAGATTCTGAGTTTTTAGTTTACTTTTGTGCACTGAAATTATACTGGTACATCTCGTGAAATGACGAACTTTGACCCAAACACCACATCATCTAACAGCTTCCACCATCTATCCTTTTAGAATGAAGAAGAAGTCTTTGCATGGAATAATGAAGTAAAACAAGGACTTTCAAGTAGCATCTTTACCAAGGATTTGGGCAGAATCTTCCGCTGGCTTGGGTATAACTTTATCTATTTTGAGAATTTACATAAGCCTGATTTGTGTCATGAATGGGCTTACAAGAAAGAAAATGAAACCATCATAATTGCAAATCCTCTTTTGAGCATCGAGAGTTTTAGAGGTTTTGTTTGGATTTTTTTGTTTTTTTTTTCTTAATTTCCTAAATGTTGCTCCCAACTCTGTTTCCCATCTTACATGCAGACCGAAAGGATCCGACTGTGGCATTGTAAATGTCAATATCCCAACGAGTGGGGCTGAGATCGGAGGTGCATTTGGTATGTAGAGAATCCTTGTCCACGTTGGGGGCAATGTGTTAGATGGTCAGGCTGCCATAACAAAATACCATGGATTGGGTGGCTTAAAACAACAAGAATTTATATCCTCACAGTTCTGGAGGCTGCAAGTCCAGGGTCAAGGTGTTGGCAGTTGTTGGGTTTCTCCTGAGGCCTCTTTTTCATGGCTTATAATCCTTCCATGGCTTTCTCTCTGTGCATGCGTACATCCCTGGTGCCTCTTCCTCTTTTAGGAGGACACCAGGCTGCACCTTTATGGCTTTTTCTTTTCTTTTCTTTTCTTTTCTTTTCTTTTCTTTTCTTTTCTTTTCTTTTCTTTTCTTTCTTTCTTTTCTTTTTTTTCTTTTCTTTCTTTCTCTTTCTTTCTTTCTTTCTTTCTTTCTTTCTTTCTTTCTTTCTTTCTTTCTTCCTTCCTTCCTTCCTTCCTTCCTTCCTTCCTTCCTTTCTTTTTCTTTCTTTCTTTCTTTCTTTCTTTCTTTCTTTCTTTCTTTCTTTCTTTCTTTCTTTCTTTCTTTCTTTCTTTCTTTTTCTTTTTGGCTTATGACCTCGTTCAACTTTAATTACCTTCTTAAAGGTCCTCTTGCCAAATACAGCCGTATCCTAAGTATTGGAAGTTAGATTTTCAACATAGGAATTTTGGAAGGGGACACAATTCAGACAATAAAAGCAGTAGTAGCTTTTGGAAAAGTTCGACCAAAAACCTGAAATAACCTGGTAAGAACCTGGTCTAACATGCTTTTTTTTTTTTTTTTTTAAGATTTTATTTATTTATTCATGAGAGACAGAGACAGAGACACAGGCAGAGGGAGGAGCAGGCTCCATGCAGGGAGCCTGATGTGAGATTCGATCCCGGAACTCTAGGATCGCGCCCTAGGCCGAAGGCAGGCACTAAACCACTGAGCCACCCAGGGATCCCTGGTCTAACATGCTTGAGAGGAGCTTGATATGCCATATTCAGAGTTACTGTTCAGGATCCAACTTTTTATTCTCAGATGCAGCGTCATGTTGGAGCCGGGGCCCTTGACCTAAAATATGTGACCCCTTGAAATGGTGGCATCTCTTTTTTGTAGAGAGGGTCATGACTCAAAGAACGTTAAGAACCCCTGGTTGGTTGGTTGGTTTTTAAAGATTTTATTTATCTGAAAGAGAGCACATGTGAGTACAAGTGGGGAGAGGGGCAGAGGCAGAAGCTGACTTGGTGCTGAGCGTGGATCCCAACTTGGGGCTCCATCTCATGACCCTGAGATCACAACCAAGCCAAAATCAAGAGTTGGGTGCTTAACGGACTGTAGGACCCAGGTACCCCTAAAAACCCCTGTTTAGGCATAAGCCAGATTTTGTCACAAAAAATTCTAGTTTTTAAAACCAGAAGGAATATAAGTGTTAAACATTAGCTTTTTTATTTTTATTTTTATTTATTTATTTTTTTAACATTAGCTTTTTTAGATAAAATGCTAAGTTGTTTTTTTTCACTGGGTTCTGCTTATATTTTCTCTTTCTGCTTAACCTTGAGTTCTCAATGCTTAAATTGAGGAATAGTTTTTGTTTTTAAAGCCATCCTGGAATTCCTGGGTGGCTCAGTGGTTTAGCGCCTGTCTCCCGCCCAGGGCATGATCCTGCAGTCCCAGGATCGAGTCCCGCATTGGGCTCCCTGCATGGAGCCTGCTTCTCCCTCTGCCTGTGTCTCTGTCTGTCTCTCTGTCTCTCATGAATAAATAAATAAAATCTTAAAAAAAAACCCATCCCAACCAACAATTGTGTATTAAGATTACTACTAAAAATTAGTGAAAATATGGTAGAAACAGATTACCTTGCTTATACTCATATACTTATGTAGGTATAGAGGAGAACACACATGCATTAATACCTCCAACAGTTTAAGTAATTAGAGGCATTTTTTAATGTTTTAAACCAGTGTTTACTGCCCTTAGCATTCAGTCTGCCGATTTTGACAAAAGGTTCCTCCTTTCCTTCAGGCTCACCCCTGCCCTACACTGTTGAGTGGCCTGCGTGCACCTGTGTGCTCTCTCCCCTCCGGGGACCTTTAGTCCTTGTTTTTGGCCCATACTTTTTCGTCCGCCTGACTCGTCTTTATTTGAGCCTCCACAAGTTAATTTGTAAATGGGAAAGTGGCTTCTCCCACTTTTCTCTTGCGGCTTCATTCCTAGAGGCAACTACTTTGAGATGGCTAAGAAAAAAACAGTAAATTTAGCTTTGAATTTACTTTAGTTTTTTTTAAATATTTATTTATTTATTTATGATAGAGAGAGAGAGGCAGAGACACAGGAGGAGGGAGAAGCAGGCTCCATGCAGGGAGCCCGACGCGGCACTCAATTCCGGGTCTCCAGGATCGCGCTCTGGGCCAAAAGGCAGGCACTAAACCGCTGAGCCACCCAGGGATCCCCTGTTTTTTTTTTTTTTAATTTATTTGTTTTACATAATCTCTCCATCCAACAAGGGGCTGGAACTCATAATCCCGAGGTCTAGAGCTACATGCTCCACTGACTGAGCCAGCCACGTGTTCACTGCTTACTCTTTTCTCAATTTTAGACATTATTTGTTGACTCTCTGTTTAGCTTAGCTGAACCTTCTTAAACCTCCCTCTTCTTTCTACATGTGTAGCATGATGTTAACTGCTCTATGTGAAGTTAAAAGGAAACCAGAGAAACCAGCCAAGCCTCTAAGTGTCTCCCCCTTGAAGTCACAGGACATGGTAAATTCTTCCAGCGGTAGATTGGGACAAAGAACATGGAATGTCATCTACCAGGGTGACTGGTCACCTGGCTTATTTCAAAACTCCAGACTCCCTGAAGAAAAGCAGGTGTTTAACATAAACCACACTGTGCAAAAGCAGTTGAGGCCCAGTGAGAACAAGTATCATGTAGGGGAAATTTTATGTCCCTGTAGGGGGAGCTACTTAGTACCTGAGTGCCCACATGCAGCAGCGTTGCAAGCAGACCTGCGCTGCCTTTGCTGCACAGTTTGCAATAATTTTTCCTCAGACTTTTGAAGTTGTTACTCACTTACATTATGGTTTCTGGTATTGTGGTTGAAGAGCTCAGTCCACTTTGATTTCCGATCTCTCTTTTCTTTCCTATTTCAAAAAATTTGGGGTCTGCTATTTATGTCAACAAAGATCTTTGTAAACATTTTTTTTGGACAGTGGGCCAGGAATTAGCTTTAGAGTATTGGGACTCATGATTTTCAATGCTGGGGTGTTTTTGCTAGTTCTGTGTTGGTAGTTTTTTTTTTTTTTTGACAATTTTATTTCCTTCACTTTTTCTCTACTTGTTGTTTTTTTTTTTTTTTTTTAAGTTTTTATTATTTATTTAGAGAGGTGGGAGGGGAGATGGAGAGGGAGAGTGAGAATCTCAGATTCTATGCTGAGACCACTGTGGGGCTTGATCTCAAGATCCTGAGATTATGACCTGAGCTGAAATCAAGAGTCAGAAGCTTAACTTACTGAGCCACCCAGGTGCCCCCCCCTTTATTTTAAAGTAATCTCTGCACCCTACATGCAGCTTGACCTTAAAACCCTGAGATCAAGAGTTGTATGCTTTACCAACTGAGCCAGCCAGGCACCCCAATATTTTTCTTTTTAATTACTATTCTAGTAAACTATTCTGTTGTTTGTTATCTCTTGAAGAATTGTCTAATTTTGTTCTCTTTCATTTGTTTTGTTTTGAATATGGGAAATTTTCTTTTTTTAAGATTTTTATTTTCATTATTGCAATTTTCTTAAAGATCGGTTTATTTGAGAGAGCGAATGTGTGTGTACACTAGGTGAGAGAGAATCTCAAGCAGACTCCCCGGTGAGCACAGACCCCAACACAGGGCCCAGTCTCTCTACCCTAAGTTCATGACCTGAGCCGAAATCAAGAGTCGAATGCTTAACTGACTGAGCCACCCAGGTGCCCCTAGGATTTTATTTTTAAGTAATCTCTACCCCCAATGTGGGGTTTGAACTCACGATCCCAAGATATCCAGAGTTGCACACCTCAATGACTGAGCCAGCCAGGCACCTGCTCAGATTATTCTTCTAGCTCTTCTTCTTCTTTTTTTTTTTTCTTCTAGTTCTTCTATTAAGTGTTTTCTCTTCTGCTGTTACCAAAAACACTACCAAGTCTCATTTCTTGTGCTCTGATGGCACACCTCTACATAGTATCCTTTTCTTGTTTTATGGAATCATTACTTTTTTAATGATACAATGACATTAATATAAAAATTCAGAATATTATAAAAGCAGTATGTGTGTATTTATTTATTTATTTATTTAATTATTTGAAAATTATATATAGCTAAGCTTAAATGAGAAAATAAAATTATATTTCCACCATCTGGAAGTTTCCCGTCTTAATATCTGGTCTCATGGTAAGGTTGGTTTTCTTTTATTTCTGACAAATTTGTTCCCTCTTTATTCCTTACGTGGTTTTTTTTTTCCCCTCAGTTCTTTTTTCCTGTTTATCTGGTCTCTGTCTTTTGTATGTAGAGGAGATAACTCTGAGATAAATGTAAATCCATTGGTCAGGTAGCTCTAATATCCTTTTGGTGTGTTTCTTTTCATGCTGCCAAGTAGGAGCTGTGCACAGAGAAACTCCTCACGAGATGTGAGCTTCTTGTGTATTTCTCTAGGAGGAGAAAAGCACACTGGTGGTGGTCGGGAGTCCGGGAGTGATGCCTGGAAACAGTACATGAGAAGATCCACTTGGTAAGAAAAGGCTTTGGGAGGTTGGGATTGAGCTTCCCAACCATTGGGAATAGGCTTTTACACTGTTCTACCTTATGCCGTGTCTTTATAGGGCTTCACTTCATTTTGGTTCTTTAATGAGCACAGCTGTCCCCTCCTGGGACATCCCTTCTGTACTGTTACTTCTCCCTCCTTCTTGTCGCACCTCAGCCAGTGCCCAGGGCTCAGCTGAGAAACTGTCCCATTGGTGGTTTCTGGAGACGCCAGAGGAGCAGGACATTGGAAGGTCAACAAGTAGGAGAAAGTAGAGGAAGCTGTCCTTGTAGTTTTCTCATTGGGTGCAACCAACACCCTTGCAGGCTGTAGGAGTAGAAGCAGACTGGACAGAAGCAGACTGGACACATGCGGGGCCCCTGCAGGCCAGAATAATGAGCATGATACTTGAGGATGCTTTAGCATGTTCACCCAGCACACGGCTAGCTGCCACAGGAGCCTGCTTCAGGGAGGATTTTACTAGGAGTTGCTCCTTTTACTTGTATGCTTTTAAAAAGATTTTACTTATTTTTAGAGAAAGAGGAGGGGGCAGTGCATGATTGGGGAGAGGGGTAGAGAGATGGAGAGAGAGAGAATCTCCAGTAGACTGTGCTGAGCCTGGAGCCTAATGCGGGGGTCGATCTCCCAACCCCAAGATCACAACCTGCACCGAAATCAACAGTTGGTTGCTTAACCAACTGAACCACCCACGTTCCCCCCTCCTCTGGCTTAGACAGAGAGAGATTTACCCAAGTGCATTAAAACGATATGTGAGTCAGGCCCATGGGATATGATGTTGTAGAAAGAACATAGGTCCAAGATCCCAGAACGCTCATCTTAGTCTCATTTATTGCTTCTCACTAACCCTATAGCCTCAGGTAGATTCTCAGCCTTAGTCCCTTAGAGCCTCAGTGAAGTGATATCTGTCAGGAATTTCTGAGGTGCTTTTGTCTGTACTTGAAGTCCCAGACGCATGCACGTTCTCCTGGTTCCCATTCTTTGTTGTGGGGGTTTGTTTGTTTTTTCCTGGTTCCCTTTCTTTGAAGTCATGTACATTACTTTTCTTGTGTACTTGAGATCTAGAGTAGATCCCCCTATTCTTGTGCCTTGAAGACTATTAATAACATTTGATAGGCATATTATAGATTTCTATGTTTCTCCTTTGTTTTTTTCTTTTAGGAAACTGAATCTGTACTAACCATGTTTTGTATCTTAATTTTTTCTTCTTCACCAGCTTGTATCTTGGACATTTTACCTTGTTAATATATACAGATATGCTAGATTTTCTTAATGGCATAAATTTTTCTATATTATATATGTACTACCCTTCATTTAGTTTGTTCATTTTTTTTCCCCTCTAGTACTATCAACTACAGTAAGGACCTTCCTCTGGCTCAAGGAATCAAGTTTCAATAAAGGTGATGGTAAATCAGCATTACTTCAAGTCTTCTAGGCATTCTTGCAGTTCTTTTCTGAAGAAGAAGAAAAAAATTAAGATTTGCCCTGAATAAATGCATCATTTTGATTGTGACAGTGACTAGTCTCTTAACCCTGAGGCCCCTGCTAAATCAAGAGACTTACTTTTTAGAAATAAAACTGAATTGTCACAAATAGCCATATTTAGTAAAAGATGCAATGAATTTTTATGTTACTAGTAGTTGGTGAGTTTAAGGATTTTTTATTTTAATTTAGAAAAAAAATAGTAGATGCCATAGTTAGGAAATAGGAAAATAGAAGTCTTCTCGGTACATGCAGGAACATGCATCTAAGATCGCTATAGTGAATGTTGACTCACACTAGCCTCTAGTGTTGGAAAGAATAGTGTTTGCAGGGAGTATGCTTGTGTTCCTTGCAGGTGGAGGAGCACAGCACAGCTCCACGTAGGATGGCTTGCTCTGTATGGAATGACTAGGGATCTCTATCACCATTACAGTTTCTCTTGCCCACATTGCCTTGTGTCACCACAAAAAAAGATAGACCTGGTGGACACGGGTTTTGGTCCTGCTATAGAACCTATACCCACCAAGGACTCTGCCTATGTCTATGGGTTTCTTATGCAACCTTAGAACATTTTCTTTATAGTTATTATGTTTGTGCAGTTGCACTTGGATTTGTTCTGGGAGAATGACCACCATGTGTGTGCCAGCATGTGGTTGTAGTAAAAGAAGGAAAGTTCATTTGTGGTGAAGAATCTGCCTCCTCCTCTTGGGAAACAGCTTTTGGAGTGGTTCAGCCCGAGCTTTCCTATTGAGCTCCCATTGGCTCTTGAAGGCCTCTTCCTGCAGTCTGTATGCCCTGCTGGGTTGGAACTGGGCAGAAGCCTTCCAAGAAGATGACATTTATAGATAATCTGATACATTGGGATGTATGGGGAGATTTGGATGACTGGCAAAGAGTGGGTTGAGTTATGACGGAAGTAAGCAAATGAGAAAACTAAGCAATTAAAAATTTATCACGGTGGGAGAGATTTTCATACTATGGCCCATGGCATAGTTGGGACTAGTGTTTACCAAGGCACGCTGTTGTCAACCTTGAGTATTAATTAAGCAAAATGCTGATGATACATACCTGTTGAAAGCATGTTGGCAGGAAGAAGTCAGGGTTACATCAAAGAGGTGGATAGTTGCTGTTCTCTAGTGGAAAATTACTAATGCCTTAAAGTGCAGAAGTAAGAAATAGTTAACAAAATGTTTATGGAGATAGGTAAATGCTCAAAGAAGCATGGTCTTGCGGGGCAGGGCAAATGGAAGATCAGGTATGGAGATGATAGGAATTGCTGTTTCTCAGAACATGTCTTAGAGAACTGTTTGATTCTTTTGGTCAATAGAATGTATAACTTCGATAAAAATTAAAACTCATAAAAAAGAAAATGATGTTGGAGAATGAAGTACTTGGAATCCTGCATTTCTAGATTCCCTCCCTCCACCCAGCACACACATGCACACTTGGATCTTCCTTATGGACCTAAGTAACCTTGAAACAGCTCATGAAATGATCCTCCTGAAAACCAAATTTTCCCTGTATTTTAAAATTCAAAACAGACTGGATTATGCTGTATTGAGATACTTGTACTTTTTAAAGTGGTTGCCTAAGACAATCATGCAATTTGGGCATTAATTTTTAAAATCTTGCTATGGCTTTGTTTTGTTTTTTGTTTTTAGGTCACAATGTTTAAGTATTTTAGTCCTCTTAGGGACTGACTGTATTATGATCTGAAGAAGTAAAACACAATTTAAAACTCTTTCAGGAATCACATACTGACAAGCCATTATTATTTTGTGAAAATGTGCAAGGTGATTTTTTTATTGAAATATTTTCCTATACCCTGGGTTTTCCTATCGTATTATTTTTAAACAAGTGTTCTAAATCAGTGTTCTAACTTAAATTTTTTTGCATTAGTAATTTCTCTCTTTTAGGTTTCTAAGGAGGCTCTCTGTCGTCCTGTGTATCTGCTAAAGTCATGATGCGGTGGCCAATTTTCTAGCATGCTAGGGCGGCTTTTTTGGGGGGGGAAATTAATTCATAATTTTTTTACATATGTTTCTAACAATTTTGAGCACATATTTTTGTCATAATGCTTATTAAAAAATTTTACACTTAAATTGTCCTTTGTTCTTTTTTAGTGACACAATAAAAGTTGCTAATTATTAGTATTTTTTTTTAAGATTTTATTTATTTATTCATGAGAGAGGCAGAGACATAGGCAGAGGGAGAAGTAGGCTCCCGGCGCGGAGCCTGATCGGAACTCAATCCCAGGACCCTGTGGATCACCACCTGAGCCAAAGGCAGATGCTCAACCACTGAGACACCCAGGTGTCTTGCTTATTAGTATTTTTAACTAAGGAATTTGAAATGTACATTTGTGTTTGTTGTTGTGGTCATGTATTCTAAGGTGATAGGAGCCCTGTACTGCTTCGTGATTACTGTTTCCATTTTGTCCCTCTTGACTGCTTGCATCTGGTACTGGAGCCGTACTGCCATTTCTCAGCCCCCATTGTGGATAAGAGCTGTGGTTAGCATGCCAATGTCCACCACTGTAGTGAACCCTATGAGTCTTAGCATGTTGCTGGGCTTTTCCTGTCCTTGGAGAGAGCTTCCCAAATGACTGATCCTAGGATGTTGACTCTTACAGTTCCATAGTCAGGCATCAGAAGACTTGGTTGTCCTGGCCTTCATTCTGGGAGGCAGGCACTCCTCATGAAGACCTCACACAATGGAGATGAAGCAAGTTTTCTCAAAGGAAATAGGGATGCTGTTTTTTCTCTCCTGGGGGATGCCTGGGTGGATCAGTGGTTGAGTGTCTTCTGCCTTCGGCTCTGTATGTGTCTCATGAATAAATAGATCTTTAAAAAAAATTTTTTCCCCCACTCCTTTCTTCCCTGCTGTGCAACCACAGATGGTTCTGTTGGCATTCTTTGTCCCTGGGAATGCTGAAGGGACTCGGGAGTCTGCACGACCTTGCTCTTCTATACTTCAGATCTTTCTCCTGTTGCCTTTGCTGTAACTTTACCTGCCTAGTTGCTGTCAACATTTGCACTGGTAACTGCAATTTCTATCCTTTTCATACTTCTCCCCTCTTGTACCTAATTGCTCATGTTTGGTTTCATTCGAGATGTTTATAGGCCTTAAAGGTTTTTTGTTTTAAGATTTTATTCATGAGAGACACAGAGAGGCAGAGACCTAGGCAGAGGGAGAATCAGGCTTCCTGCAGGGATCCTGATACAGGACTCCATCCCAGAACCCCGGGATCAGGACCTGAGCCAAAGGCAGATGCTCAATCACTGAACTACCCAGGTGCCCCGACCTTAAAAACCTTTAAGACATTAGGTGCCAAGACATTATTTTTCATCCCAGAAATTGTTGATACATGTGATGTACTGAACTTTTGGACTTTTCATGCAATCCAATATTGATTTTTTTTTTTAAGATGTCAGATATTCTGTACACTCAGTGTGGAGGTCAAACTTGACAACCACAAGATCAAGAGTCACATGCTCTACCGACTGAGCCAGCTAAGTGCCCCAAATCTATTCATATTTTATAGTTCTTCCAAATTAAGTTTAGAAAGTTAGGTTATAATTTTTTCCTCTGGGGTAGCCCTGGTGGCTCAGTGGTTTAGTGCCGCCTTCAGCCCAGGACGGGATCCTGGAGACCCGGAATCGAGTCCCAAGTCAGGCACCCTGCATGGAGCCTGCTTCTCCCTCTGCCTGTGTCTCTGCCTCTCTCTCTGTGCCTCTCGTGAATAAATAAATAAAATATTTAAAATATAATAATTTTTTCCTCTGCTTTTTTTTAAAGTGTAGTTTTTATTTATTTATTTTTTAATTATTTCACAAGAGACACACACAGAGGCAGAGACACAGGCAAAGGGAGAAGCAGGCTCCATGCAGGAAGCCCGATGTGGGACTCGATCCTGGGACTCCAGGATCATGCCCTGAGCCAAAGACAGATGCTCAACCACTGAGCCACCCAGGCGTCCCTAAAGCGTAGTTTTTAAAAAAGAACTACTTGTACACAGTTAAAAATACAATGGGCCTAGAATGCTTAAAATATACTTTCTGTTCCTGTTTCCTCCTCATCTGCCCGCCACTTACTGTAGCAACCACCTCACCTTTTCTGTTGTTGATCACCTTGGTCCTAAGTCATAAGCTCCCATTGCTGTTTTCACTATATCAGTTTAAATATTGCCTGCAGAGTTCTCATTGCGGTGGGTGAGGATTAACTTTCTTATTAGCACTTCTCCAAACATAAAACCTCTTTCCCTCCATTCTTCTCATCTGTTCATACCACAGCATCTCGTTAAATCTGTAGTCATGACTTAATTAATACTATGCAAAAGGCAACAAATACTGCCTTAAAATCATGACTGCTTTCTTTTCTTTTTTCCTGGAGTTTGTAAGTACCCTTATTGCTTAATTTGCATCTATTTTTTTTCTGAATTGTGATAAAATACAACATAAATTTCATTTTAATTTTTAAATTTTTTTCTTAAGATTTTATTCATGAGAGAGACATAGAGGTAAAGACACAGGCAGAGGGAGAAGCAGGCTCTATGCAGGGAGCCCAACATGGGACTCGATCCCGGGACTCCAGGATCACGCCCTGGGCCGAAGGCAGGCACTAAACTGCTGAGCCACCCAGGGATCCCTTTGTAGTGTCTTCTAAAGGAAAGGGCTTTGTCCCCACTTTGAATGGAAGATTCAGTGTCAGGTTCTGGATTTAAAATACAGATAGTATTTTTTTTTTTTCCATTGGAAAGGCCCATGGGTTGCCTGGGTGGTTCAGCAATTGGGCTTCTGCCTTTGGCTCAGGTCATGATCCTGGAGACCTGGGATCGAGTCCCACATCAGGCTCCCTGCTTGGAGCCTGCTTCTTCCTCTGCCTATGTCTCTGCCTCTCTGTGTCTCTCATGAATAAATAAATAAAATCTTTAAGAAAAATTTATTCCTATATATTTTAAGATTTTAGTTGTAAATGAGATCATACCCTTCCTTAAGTGTAAGTTTCACATAGATTGTATACCTTCTAAAGTGGATTAGGTTTGAAAATGGAAGCACTCCGGGCACCTGGGTGGCTCAATCGATTGTCTGCCTTCGATTGTCTGTCTGCCTTTGGCTTAGGTCGTGATCCCAGAGTCCTGGGATTAGGCCCCGCATCTGCCTTCCTGCCTGGCGGGGAATCTGCTTCTCCTCCTCCTGCTTGTGCTCTCTCTCAAATAAATAAATCTTAAGAAGAAAAAAAGAAAATGGAAGCACAATCCTGTAACTACTCTCCATTTGCTCTTGGTTGATCCAAGGTCTTTTAGCCTTTCAATTCTAGAGCTGGTGAAGCTTGGCCAGGATTCAGATGTTACGGAGTTGTCCTTACGGTGATGAGCTGTAGGTGGCACTGCGGGTCAGAGCAAGCGCCTCAGTTTGGCAGAGAAGGGAGTTGTGTTGACTGTGGTATCCAGGAGGTCACCATGGAAAAGGTTTTCTGTTCAGCAGACAGATGCCCTGCATTTATGAGCTGCTTTGCATTCCAGCACCATTGGTAACCTGCGTTTCCCCTCTCTGGGCTGCTAACTACACAGATTACCTGAGCTTCAGCTGATTACTTATTTAGCTTTGGGCTGTAATTGCGGATGAGTGTCTTTTGTTTTATTAAGTTAAGAAACATTATCAAGTTGTTTCTTTTCCATCCTAACCACCCACCCCCCCAGCCCTCATGGAGTGTGTGTATGAGGTTACTTCACTTGGGACAACCTTGGAGGATATTTTATTGTTTAACTTACACTTTTATGATACTATATTCCAGGCACTTCTCAAAGCACTTAACAAATAGAAACCCACTTAATCCTCATAATAAGTTGTGAAGTAGGTAATATGATCATTCCCGTCTTATTAACAAGGAAGCTGAGATACAGAGAGCTTGAGTAACTTTTCCCAAGTCAGCCTGCTGATAAACAATGGGGCTAACATCTGAACTCAAGCAGTCTGGCTCCAGGGTTAGTGCTCTGGTGATGAGTCACCTAAAATTAGTGCTCTCCTTCTTTGCCTACCTCTCTTTTCATTGCTGTCCTTTCATTTTTTCTTCTATAATGTTCTTTATTTTTTATTTTAATATAAGGACAAACTTAAAAATTGGAGAGTAGTGCAAAGAACTTCTTTCCCCTTCACTATTTGAGTATGTTGTTGACCTTTCCCATCACCCTAAAAATCCTTGAGTGTGTATTTTCCACAAACAAGGACATTTTCCTACATAACTGTTGTATACCTTTGAAATCAGGGAATTATTGATATGTTACTTTTTTTTCTTTTTAAGATTTCATCCATTTATTTGAGAGAGTGAGAGAGAGAACAGGAGTAGGGCAGTGGGGGAGGGAGAAGCA